GAGACCCTATCGTAAACATCGGCACTGGACTCTCCTTGAGGGACTCGGTAGAAGAACTTGCCGTAGGTATTGCGAGTGCTTTTGATCTTCCTCCTCTCCTCTAAATCTTGGAAGTTGCCGAAATGTTGTTCCCTCAACCGACACTCTTCACGCACTCCAACCACTCTCTCTTTGGGGACTACTCGCGAGGCTATCTCTTGAGCAGTTTCCCTGGTGCGGGATGAAGGGGACACGTAGAAAAGCAGGAGACTACTGCCTCCTGGTGATATAATCATGTCGAGGATCTTAGAGGCCGTTATTCGGGCCTGTGAGCGGCCCGTTTGGCTCAACTTGATCTTGTGGTTGGGAATGTGTTGGAGGACACTCTCGTCCTCGTTCACAAGGCTCTCTCCGTGCCGCACCAAAATGATGCGCTTCGGGAGGAAATCACACTTTTTCTCAATGCTCACCATTATTATTTATTAAACAAACAAACAAACAAACAAACAAACGGCTATGTATGTATGTGTTGTGGGAGGCAAAGATTGTATATATATATGTATGTATACTGCAGAGTTTGATTGATTGAATTGATTTGGGGATGTTAATGTGCGGGTTACAATATGTCCATTTATAGTCCTTATGTTACCGCGTTTTGTATGTGTGTAACCTTGTTTTCTATATGTGGGACTTTGAATTCAAATCAATGTTAGACCTTGCATGTTACTTGGAAATTTAACGATGACTTTGACTTTAAGTGAAATTGCACCACAAAGGGGAAGCATTTTCTATTCAATTAAATAACTAAGAGTGTTTGATGGGTCGTCATAAATTGAATTACAACTTGTTATATAAGTTATAACAAACAAATATTGTATTATTTTTGCGTTAAAGTTTTAACACTTTGTTAGTATATATATAACGCCTTAGTTGACTAAAAATCTGGTGATATGTGCCGTACAAAGTCATGTTTTGTTACCGTTTTACAAACTAGTAAAATTCATGCACATCGTTTATATCTTTTTATCATTTCAAATTATGTTCTTTATTTTGTATACAAACTTTCATTCTCTAAGTTCATCTAATCTTTTTAGGTTAGGCAAAATATGCCAAGTATAATGATTAATTTCTTATTACTTATGCAAATACAATCAATTCCCACTAACAAAAACAGAAAAAAATCGAGCACAATAAAATGCAAAGAAAAATATTGTAATAATTGTGATCATAATTAATAACATCTACAAACATGAAATAATAATATAACTAATCACATTAGTTTCATATCATAACATTAATGCCTATATCAATACCAACATTTTCATATAGGAATTAACTGTGCTCTAAAGAACCACTGTTTTAACATTAACTACAAAAAACCACTGAATCAAATTTTCCAGATTTTATACAATAAACAATGCATAATTACAGCAGCAATTCATGCTGACACTATTATCTTAACGCATAGCAAACCCAAAATATCCCCCATTTTCTAGACCCGTCCTCAAAAAAATCCAATACNAAAAAAAAAAAAAAGAAAATAAGAAGAACCAGTTTAAATAATCAAATCAATACACTCTGTACAACAAGCGATCAATCATCAGAACATGTTAAGTTCGGCCAAGTCATCCATAGGTATCTCAAGCCCGACTGAATCATGATCCTGCAATCCCTCCACATCAAAGTTAAACCAAGAATTCAGATCTTGCGGCTCCCCAATCTCCGAATCCACACCCAGCTCATCAATGGCGTCTATATCGTTCAGCGGCAGATTAGCAAACTCCGAGGATTTATTGCTAAAGCCATTCGCTGAAGTCAATGGCTCTGCATTTTTCTGCTTGGGCTTAGATTTTGCTCTGCGTTCGCCGCTCATAGCAGATGAGGCTCGGAAACCAGCTCCTCCAACATCATCGAGAGATAGCTCCTTCCTCTTTGCCCTATTGGTTATTGGCCCATTTTCCGCGAAAGCCTCATTCGATTGATGAACCGGAACATCAAATGCATCTACATACAGCATAAAGGAAAAGGGTCGGTGTTAGTATACCAAACAAAATAATCTTGCAAGCAAAAACCACAATTAGTTTGTCTTTAAAAAGATGTTCCGTGAGTCTGGAATTAGAAACTCTCACTTTCATACGACAGCCATATATTTTAAACTAACAGTTGTACTTTTAGAATCAACGTCATACTTTATAGCACAAAAATTTACATGTTTTAAATAATTTTTACCAGTACTATATTTTACTAGAAAAGTGTGACCCACATATGCAATTATTCAGTAACGGGATATAGTACACTAGATTCAAGTGCTTACCATTAGCAAGTGTCTGACCAGCACCAGTAAGCATCTCTGTTTCATCAAAACGAGGTGGTGCGTTAAAAATGATATCCCGGAGTGTAGGATCCGAAAAGCAGCTTGTTCTTGAATCCATCTCGAATTTTCGATATCTCGTGAGTGTCCTCTTTGCAAATGTCAAAGCAACTTGTTTTGACACCTTACTTATCCCATGTTTAGAAGCAAAGCTTCTTTTAGTTGCCTGACAGTTGGTTCATAGAATAATTTACACTATTCAAATCTGAAAGTAGCTTGACTTTACTCTCAACAATCAGATGCAGCGACTCTTTCAAATACACATAGTTTTTTTAATAAATTACTAATAAAGCAGAGCAAATTTGAATGCACATGCATGGACTTCTTGAAGACATCGATGCTCCAGTAATAATGATCAAGTGTAATTCATTACTAACCAAAAGTTTCTTGTACGCCAACTCAACAAGTTTGTCCATCGCAATCTGCTCGAGGTCTCTGAGAAAGCACTAAAATTATCACTACAGTAATTACACCCAAAAATAATAAAAATCTTGTCACGAATCACCCATTGCCTAAATTCAGATAGTAAAGGTTAAAACATGTATTGTACCTTCCTATGATATTCCTGCCTTCCTGAACAGCCTTGCATATAGCATTCAAGCAAGGTTTCTTCTTCCCCATCTGGGGGGAAGCATGAGATACAAAGTAAAGTACAATGAGTTATCAATGGCCGGAAGATACTGTGGACAGAAGAAAAGTTGGCAAGACTTTATGACCAAAGGAAAAAATGCAATAAATCAGGAATCACTCATCATAAATCATGGTTATAATTTGGAACAAAAACTAAAAGAAAAACGAAAAAAAAAAAAAAATGGTACACTAGATGACCTGTTCATGAAGTCCCTTCTCTAGTTGTACAATTTCCTCATTTATTGCCTCATCTTCTTTATCGTTCAAAGTAGGCTGTATTTAAACAACCAACCAGCAAACCAAGAATGAAAACTTGACATGGGCAGCATTCTGAGGATGATTCAAATAGAAATGAAAAATGTGTGTGGGTGATAGTTGCTACTTCTCAAATGTTCACGTGTCATTTTCACCAAGTAGGATAGGACTATAGGATCTTTGATTAGCCACTTAAAACTTTTATATGAAACTCTGAAAATTACCACGGCTTCCAGGTACAGACCAACACTCTGCAATTCGTGTACAAGCTTTTCTTCAACACACATCTGCTCATACTGGCACTCATAAGAAGAAATGCCACAGTTACTCGTCTGCAGACTTTGGAAAACATAATCACATGTTGAGAGTCTAACCAACACTTCAACCTCAGAGTGCACATAGCCCCCCTCTCTTTGCAGCAGCTCACCATTACCAAAACGATTTTGAGTATTGTGACTCCTATCATAGTCCGCACTTCCATTACATGAAAAGATTATGTGTGCATTGCCTGTTCTCAGAGTTTGCGCATCAAACATTGGCCCACTGAGGCTCATCTTATCAATGGGTTCAGTCGGCACCAATAAGAAAGCATGAATTATTAATTGAGCTCCTCATCCTCCCAAAACCAGTGTCTTCGGATTCTTCAATTTCATATTCAACAATGAGAGCGGTGAGTACTCTTTGATAAAGTGGGGGAAGTACATCATATCTTTTCTCTCTTTCTGAGCAACCATATGGAGGGGAAGTTTCAAGCTGCTCAATGTATCCCATCCGATCCAAAGAGTTCTCTGACCCAATTTCACTTTTTATGCTTCTATATCCTCCAAAATTGAAAGAATCGGGCGCGGCAATATCTTCATGGGCATAATCAGCCTGTTACAAGTACAACACAACACACGGGCATACAAAGTAGTGTCATAGTAGTGATCAAAACAATATGCTAACTTAAATATTAATTACCTTGGAGTTGGAGGTTTAGGCAATTACTTTTAAAAAAATATAAACAATTATCTTTGAAAGAACAAATACCCCCTTGAATTTACAAACAATTCCTGAGGATTGTACATTTTTTTATGAAGTTGCTTTTTGTTATAAAAACAAATGTCAAGGGATATTCGGGATATGTGCAAATTAGCAATCGTTTCACCTCTGTGGTAGCCTTTGTTAATGACATATTTAAATTTATTATAAAGAACTTTTTTGACTCCTTTTTTCCTCTGTTGGGGCTCTATTGAACAATGGGATGTATCCCGAGACCATTGTATTAAGCCTCTCTGGGTTGAACATTTGAACTCCGCTTCCCACAGGATGATTACTTAATAGATTAAAACTCAGTGGTTCATTTTTTAAAAACAAAATCAAAATGGGGCAATCGAACTCTATGATTGATTAGTCCAAGAATATGAAACAGTGCTGAATTTAGCCAAGAATCGGGCCATCTGATCAAACAAGTTCCTGATAATCTCTATAAAAGACCTAACAAACATTGGCAGGCAAAACCTTATACAAAATCAACAGTCAAAGCAGCATGTAGAAAAAACTCACAGCAGACCAACTTCAAGGGAATCATCAAAAGCTAATTTGGTCCTAGTCATTAACATTGGAAAAAGGGACTAAGTTACATACACAAAGAAAAGCTAAAAAATGAAATATGCCAAGGTTTACCACTACCACTAGGGGAGCCACCATTGGCAATATGAACAAGACGAGAATATCCTTTGCGATCCGAAAGCTTCTTCAGAGGACGACCTGACTTGCTGCAAGGAACAAAAAGGAAGAAAACAAGGAAAAAGCTTTTCAATAATAAGATAAAAACCAAAAACAAAAGAAAATATTTTTTGTTAAATAAGTCACGCAAGGAAACTCCAAAGCACCTTCCATCCTTTTCAGAAGACCTTGCATTCCGTTGAGGTTTAGTTGTCCCCTCATTATCCATTTTCTCTATTGCTGGTGACGGACTAGTCCTAGAAAATGGTGAAACCCTCCCACTACACCCTTGTCTCCTCACGCCATCAACACTTTCTTCTTTGACCATAAGTTTATTCTTTTTCACGGGGATTGCAGATGGCCCAACATTCTGAGCAGCATTTGCATCCTTCTCTTCCCCATCTCCACTGCCTAAACCTTTTTCCTTTATTCTGATTTCACCGGCACCCGATTCTTCACTTTCCGACAACCTTATAGGAGACGGATCATTTTCAGATCTTGATTTAAAATTTAAGTTTCCACTGGCAGAACCCTTGGTGGGAAGAGTGGCACTGGTACCACTGCTAAACCGGGGGCTAAAATCTGAAGGTGAGCATCCTTCAGATTGCATCTGGACATCATCATGGCTTGATACAGGGATAAGGTTTGTTCTCCTGGTTCGTGAGATCTTCTGTGGCCACTGACCAACCCACTGAGTAATGGGTGGAGATGATGATCCAGCAGGCATTGAACGTTTCTGATTGTTATCCCCACCAATAGTGGAAGTTTTATGTACTGCTTGTGGCTGTTTCCAGCTCTCCAAAGTCACAGATACACGAGGTATGTTTGAAGCTGAAATATCTGAAACCATAGATCCGCTCCGTGGTGCCCTTGAAGCCTTCCCTTTTAATATTGGACTAGGACATATAGCATTGATGTCCTCGCGATTACCCATCCTAGATGAAGAATCCACTGAAGCATCAGAAGCAAAGCAAGGAAAAAAAATCGGTGTTTTGGTGAACGTTAGAATTATACAACCATTTACCTAACATTTAGTTTTCCTAAGTTTGCTCCTTCATTGATCCTAACGCGAGCATGGATTTTTCTTGTTCATTTTTTAAGGCTGTACGAGCACTTGAACCGGCAGGAGATGAAACTGGATCTAGTTTGTTATTGCTGCCAGAAGCACTTGGCCTGTGTGTTTCGAAGAGTAATCGAAAATCGTTAAGTTTCAAAGTCAAGCTGAACTCTCTCAAAGCAAATCCACAAGGAAATAACGAGCTGGATTAAACCAAGACTGTTCAAAATATTATAGAATAAACAATTTGGCCTTCTCAAGCTCATATGAAAACAATAAATCACACTACATATCTATGGAAAGCTACTCTAACATCATAGTTTAAGATAGTGCTTCTGAATGCAGACATTATCCACAAAACCAGTGATAGAACAATCACGTAAGGGACGCACAGTGAGCGTGCAACTACAGTCACGAACTTATGTGTTCATATAAAATGAGGCATATCATAACAAAGGGAAAAAACATTCTATAGTTGAATAGCTCCAAAAAGTTAAATAGTCATGAACACAAAATAAACCTCATTTAACTAGTCATCACACAAAATAAGTTTCCAACAACTTAAGCTGAAGCACTCAGAATCTGTCTCTTCATTGAAAGCATGTAAAATATCCTCTGCTAATTAAAATAGAACTTATCGACTCTATCCAGCAAGTACTATCTGCCAGTGTTTTCTCCAATCAAAGTGCTATGAAATGACATATTATTATCAAATCAACAGGCTAGTTCAGTTAACAGATAGGCAAACTGCAGATAAGTGAAACTCATGCCTCATGAAAGCTTGCTAAGATTGAAGCGTGTGTTGCGAGCTCAAATCAATTTATTCCCACTCCCATAATCAACTATATGTATCATTAAATGAAAATATAAAATGAAATGCTTAGATCTGATTTAGATAAGAAAGAAAACACATTAAGCACATAAGCCATTTAAAAAACACCAAAGATGTTCTCGTTGGATCATATTGAGGCAATTCAATTCAGAAAGATAAAAGGTGACTGTGATTTAACTACTGAAGTCCAACTAATGTTCAGTTTAGTCAAAAAAACAATGAACAAATTCATCTCTAACTGGTTCCATGAAATTACCTTCCACCTTACAAACATCCAGAAATCCTCAGCAATAGCATATGTAAACAGTACAACATATAAATCAAAGACACATTAAACAGAAGCACAATTGCTAAAAGCATATATGTTTTGGTTTATAATGACACTGACCTGATACTAGGGGCAGAATCACATTGCAGGCTAGATTCACCAGGCAACTTATGATGCATGGTTCTTTTCAGTTCCCCATCGTTATCAATAGATCTCGAGAAGACTACACCAACTGAGCGTTTCCTTTTCATTTTCTTGTCCCATCCTTCTCCACCAGCAGGTAATCTTCTTATTTTACCCTCAACAGTATCAAAATCTGCATTGTTATCTTTAAGCATGTCTCTTTCTCTTGTCGGTGCCATAGGTTGCCGCGATGCTCCACCAGCCCTACATTCTGCCTGAAATTGGAAGGAAAACAATAATAAATATACAACTAGTAAATAGATTGAAATGAAACCTCATCAAAAGTAACTCCCCAGATAAGAGTATACATGATGGATCATTGCCTGTGACAAATATACTAAGCCAAATACACATGACAAGGAACTAGTGATTATGGCGTACAATGTACATAAACTTTTTGGCTTCCAAGTAGATTGTTCAAGTAACAAAGGCTTCAAAGATTCTACTAGATATCTTCTACCGCTTGTTCATGATCCAATATATTAACAGACTGCATATATTGAGGCCGCCAAGTAATAGATGCGAGGTTCTTTGGTATTTTAAATTTATGGCAGATATAAGTCTTTCTCAAGGCCATCCTGACCGATGGTAACTAAATTATGTCACTGAAGATGACCCATAGTTTGCAGTACTCAAGAAAATAAAAGCAATTGAAACAATAAAACCAAATAAATAAGCTGAATAAATAACACAAACAACAATAATAGTATAATACAGTTACAAACCCGAGTTTCTACAACTGATGTCCGTAAACGCTTATTCAATCCACCATTCTTAGGCCTCTCATCAAACATTAGATTTCCAAATTCAGCAGTATTTCGATGCATCATGGATCCAGTCTTCAAGGTTGAACCACTTGACCGTTCATTAGTCAGCATCTCATTCCTTTGCTGCTGCTTTTTGGAGGACACCGCCTCAACATATTTGTTCAACTTATTCAAATGATCATCCAACTTCTTTGCTCTACCACTGGTCAAAGGTTGTAATATTTCAGAATAAGCAGATGGGGATCATAACCAAGGGCTCTCAGTGTGAAAAAGGTAGAAGACCAAATGAAATTCAATTGAAAACAGAACAAGAACACATACTCTGGATTGATAAAGTCACCACACAGGAGCTAAATCTCAACTAATCATGAAGGTGACTGAAAACAGAATCTCAAATAAAATGGCAGGTTTTACTAATTTCACAAGACCGCCACAAATTAGTTAACCGAGGCAGTAGAACACAGCATATCTAGTACATTTATTTACGAAAAACCGAGACATGAGGACAAATTAATTAAGCGAGGACGGTTCGCAATAGCATCTCAATAACAAAGTTCATAAGGATAATCATCAGCAAAACCAGAAAAGGGAAAAAAAAATTGAAGGTATAACAATTCTGTATTTCGTAAGCAATGATCCACAGCTCCAGAACCGGACACATTTCCAAAGAAACCAGCTAGAGAGATAAAGATTACCTGGCTTTAACGCAAGTATCTGCAGCACTTGCTCTTAATCGCTTCAATTCCTCCACCGCCCCGGGTGATGAATTTTTTAAATGAGCAGCACCAAAAGAGTTGTCTTCTGAATTGCTACCAGCAGAAAAACCAAGAACCTTCCTCAAGTCCCCAGACCGTGCATGCTTTTGATCATTGATAGCAATTGGCTCCAACATTAGGCACTGAGATAATGTAGTCACATCTCCAGAAATGTACACACTTCCTCTAGAATTTGCCTTTCCAGAAGCAACATTTTTGTTATCTGCGCTCTCTCTGAAACTTGTTGATATATCTAAAGTAAGAGTAGAGTATCCCCTTTGCCCATCGTGGTAACTGGTCTCAGGACTGGCTGATGTTAACTCAAATCTCGTATTTCCACCCATTACTAGGGTCACAATCTCATATCTATAGTCATGTCCCCCTAAAAAACTTGTCAGCTACTTTATAGCGGCACACTAACAAACCCAATGACAATAAGCAAGAACATCAGCAAACATAGAATCACATCACAACTTATGAATCCAGATAAATAGTAGCTCAAAAATGAAAAGAACAACAAGGTTTTAACTCTTCTCTAACTCCAACTAGCAGATACATGTAAGAACTTGCACAAACAAAAACCACAATGAGTACCCAGATTCTTGTACCAGAGACCAAAGCACGTACAGAATGAGAATGCATCAGATCAGTTTGCATCACTGAATCAAACTTATAGAATATAGAAAAAAATGGAAATGGTCATGAGAAAGTTGATAACAAATGAAAAAAATAAATAAATAAATAACCCCACGATGAACGAATCTGCAGTAAATTCAAACAATAAAGCAAATGAATAAATATTACATCAAAGTGAATAAATTCATCAGCTACTAACATAATACCCCACGACTCAACTAAGGTATTAGGGTTTTCGTAAAAACCTCGACCTCCCAACTCAGAATTCCACAAAATCAGCAGCTTCAAGAAGAAGTTAGTTGAAAATTGAGTAGAGACCAGAAGATAACCTGCGTCACATCGACCAGATAAACCGAGCAGCAGCAAGGAACAAAGGGTAGAGAGGGATAAGAATTTGTAAGAAAGACCACTGCAACTGTAAGAAAACTGTGTCGCCCTCTCTAGTTCGCAGCTGAAAATTAGATCAGCGAATCTCCGATCTATACGTCGATTATGATTCTTCTCTTAGAATCATGACACGCGTATTTTTTTTTTTATTTGTTAAAAAAAAACTAATATATACAAGTATTTATAATTTTATTATGTATAAAAATAAATGTACAACAAATAACTTATAATTAATAGAGTGATGGCTATTTTTCACCTTGAAAATGTAAAAATAATATTTATTTAAATAATATTTATAAAATTATATTTGTCTAATACAAATATTATTACAATTTTACAATTTGATTTTGAATTTTGTATTTTTTTTTCAAATATGATTATATTATAATTATGATTTACATTAATTCACTCTCTCTTTTTGTCGTCTATTATTTTTTCAAGTATCATATATATCTGTATTGAAATAAGTTAAAACATCAAAACGTACAATTGTAATATTTGTTTATGTTAATCAACCTATTTTTATATAATTTAAGTAAGTTTATAAATTGAATAAAGTAACCATGAAATAATAATAAAGTAATATAATCACATTTCATTTCATAAATTATAATGTTTATTAAAATTTGTACATTATATAGTTGAATAGCTTGCAATATATGTATGTATACATATACTTTCACCCATTCTATCACGCCCCCTAAACCAAGTCGAATAATTGATGTTAATCTGGGATTGGAGATCATCAAGGCGGTTATCAGCTTTGGCCATCTTTGTTGTAAGAGTTGATGAAGGTTAATGAATTGGTTATCAAAATGAGATTGGACAACGATCACAATTTATAAAATCAATGTCAGATCAGCCATTTGCCTCTCTACAAAAGCAGCAAAAATGATGCGAACAATTTCAGGGTACTCTGAAAGTGAGCACCAACCCCTATCAATTCTACTTTATCAATTCTATTCCCTTATTCGTCCAAGAACTCAACGCATGATGTAGTCTTTATGCCAAAAGGAGATCTTCCTGTCTCGGGTTGGTTTACCTGTTGACGTGGTCTAGTAAGGATCGGTCTAGTAAGGTTTGAGCTGTATCAATATTTATTGTTGTTTTCATAGTTACAAATAGGAAAAGAGCTTGCACTATTTTCGATTCTATTGAAAGCGTCGTAAAGGATCATTGGGCTTGGAAGGGAAGGAAAAGGAAAGAAAAGGGAATGAGAAAGGTTGTTATCTTCAATGTGATGCAACTGTACGAGACTCTAAAATTGGTTTGAGAGGTTGGATAAAAAATTCAAAAGGCTTTGTAGTCACGGTTTTTGCATCCCATATGTCAGGTTCATTCTCTCCAACTTTGGCTGAGGCTTTGTTTATTCAATTTTGGTTAAGATTTGCTTCTACGATGAGAGTGAAGATCCAACAAGTCACCACAGATTGTCTTGAAGTAGTGCAAGGGCTGATTGTGGATGATTCACATCACCCATTAGGCATTTTCTTTAACATCCTGGCACTCTTGGATTCATTAGACTGCGGACGCTGTCAGCATACACATCGATTTCATAATGAGATTGCTCATGCCATTGCTGGGCAATGAGATCAAAAACCACGATAATGCGGTCAGATTGTATTCCAATCTTTTTTTCTCCTCTGTTATGTAAGAACTTGATGGTGTAATAAGACTATAAGCATTTTNTTTGTTATGATGATAACCTCGTGCAGACGATTAATAAATCAGGCTAGTAATGGTTTGAGCCATATCAATATTTATTGTTGTTTTTACAAATAGGAAGAGATAAAAACATATTAATTTGTTATGATGATAACATCATGCAGACGATTATAACACTATACGGAAATGCTCACATGCCCACGGTGGGCACATGTTAATATACCCACCGCTTATGTGGCATGCACACATTGGTGATGTATGTGTACATGCCACATAAGCGATGGACATATTAACATGTGTCCACCGTGGACATGTAAATATTTCCCTAACACTACGGTGAGCAATATGTAAGACTCATATTTTATTTTTTTAACATTGCTTTCCTTAATGAGAAATTTGTTCTTCGCCTCAACACTTTCGCTTACACTAAATTAACATGGCTAGTTAGAGTTGGTCACACAACATTCCCCAATATTCATCCGGAAATTTACATTTAAGAAAAAAAAAAGTAACATATTTTTCTTCTCGACACGGCCACCGGTTTGATTCTGAAAACAAGAAATCCTCAGCAACATGTTGGACTCTCTTATTCCGAGTCTTCATCTTCTGGAGCAGGAATTTTATGGTAATGGCCAAATTGGCGAACGTAAGGTGTTTCCCTATCCCGTGAAATCAACGATCTCCTCCTCTTTTGAGTGAACCCTTGCTCGTAAGCCGCATCAGACAGTAGCCCCATGCTACGATCCTCCTTACTGAAGCTCTTTTCTTGGTTAAACCTACATAATTTGCATATTCACACAACAATAGCATGAAAAATCAATCTTTAGTATACATATCACACTTCTGTAAAGAGTATACGCTGATTCTTAAGAGAAACAATCTGATAAGAAAAAGACAGACAAAAATTTGTCATCCATTGGCAAGTTGAACATGTGAGGCTTTAGTTGCACGAATTAAATGACTAACGTTAGAAGACAAATGAAAAAAATAAAAAAATAAAAAAATTAGAATTCGATGGACATTTTAAAAATAGACTTAGAAGGAGTTGGGACTTGGGAGCAAACTAAAACATTTTATTCTCACTAGATCTTGGTGTGTATATAACGGTAAGTGAAACAAATCTGGATATTGCAGAGGCAATCAAGATTAACTCATATGTATAGTGTATACATACAGGGAGTCTTACCGTTCACGAATGATCTTGAATGCTTCTTTTGTTGCATAAGGTAAACCCGTCTTTGGATCACGATAACTGCATAAACCACGGTGAATACATATATTTGCTAAAAAATAGTTTGATGCTAGAGACGGAGAGAACACGGGAGAACAAGCATGCAACAGGAAGAAAAAGAATGAGGTATATATAAAGCTTAACCCAACATTTGAATAGTTGCTTTGGGGGACATATCTTGATTGGTTTTAAAGGAGAATAAGAAAAAGCTTCCACATCTGCATTTGGGGTATTTATTTGTTAATTTTATCCCAAAAACAATTTTCTTTTCAAACATACTCAAACAACTTAATTGAGGTGTAACGATCATTTCTTTCTCAACATATATTCGATTGAGTTGAATGAAATGTAAGAGTAAGAGATATACAAAGAAGTCACAAAGATGAACAGAGATTGCATGTAGTTAGTAGCTGGTGTAACTCGTTTAATGATCTAATGATGAAAAACTAACAAAATCAAGGGAGGTTTCGCATACCTAATTGCATGCAATAAAATGAAAACAAATTCAGTGAATTATGATTGTCAGGACTTACATTGCTGGTAGCCCCGTAACAGCACACACCGCCTTCTCTCGATCTGGATAGATTGTGGTTTATGTTAGTCAATAGAAAAAGCATAAGACTTATAGAGAGCTCATCAACTGCAGGTGTATAAAGATATTAATGAGCTTGAGCTAAACAAGCTTTAAAAGAACTCAAAAGGTAGTCATTTGTTCTTTATAAAATATAATCGAATTGCATAATTCTGGAGACAATATCAATAATTCAGCAAATTATGGAGATTGATTAATTCAATATCAATAAGAAACTCATTTTCTTCGCTGGTTCATCTGATTGGTGAAGATCAATTTCTTTCCTTTTCAAATTAGTTGTAAGTTATTATTTGTAGTCCACCACGCTATAGTGCCATGGCAGAAATTTGAAAAGACTGGTCGTTAGGGGTGCAATGGGATATGGATTAATTTGGAAATAAATAACTCAATAGTGAAAGTGATGAAGAAAGTGAAGAAAAAAAAGGGTGTAAGACAGGCACGAATTAAGAGAAAAGAAAAAGTAGAAGGATAAGTTTATAACAATTCGATCTTTTTATTCCCAAATGTGAATCATTTTCACCTACTTAAGCATAGATAGATAACTAGGTTCATCCACTAACAACTAATATGGTGCGATTGGATATACTTCTATTTGGAAAAAAAAATCTCCCTAGTGAAAAAAGATTTTGGAGAAGAATTAATTATTTTCTAATGTGAATTGGCGTAAGATAATGAAGTAATAATTAAATGTGAACATAATAAAATGATGATTAATAGTTGAAAATATGTGAGTGGATTAACAATGTAGGGAAATGGGCAGTAATTATTGTTTTATTCTAAAAAGTTGTATTGATAAGTGGGATTGGTGAATGGTTTATTTCTTCTACAGGGGATCAAGAAACCACTACAAATATCCAATCCACCTTAAGAATACCTATTCACGTGCGTGAAAACCACAAAGGAGGCTCGACTCATTAAGCTTAATAAGCATGAGATCAGGCTCATTAGCTTTCATGAGTCTACATGGGTCTGAGAATGACTTCATTTCTACACTTCACGAGCCCATTCGCGAGCCTATTTGCAAGCTCAAATATGCTCAAGTTCAGCTACAGTAAATAGGCTCGAGCTCTGATCAGGGAGCATGACTTCATTTTTCAAATATGCTCACTCCCTCCCTCTCGATCTCGATATACACAGAGTTTTAGAAAAATATATCTATATAGAGAGAATATACAGAGTTCTATAAACATATATCTATATAGAGAGAATAGAGATGGAGTGTTGTCAAATGGCGGTATGGCAAAAACCCGCCATGCTGAATTTGTGAAGGATGGTGGTTATGGCAGCGCCATAGGCTGCTACAGCAGCTGCTATGACGGATATTTGACAAACTGCCATTTACCGTAATCCGCCATTAATAACACTGATGAGGCTTGAACTACAGAAAGCTCAGCCTCATCCCACAAGATACCCCTCCTTTTGGGTCCCAATATACTATGTGCTCTCTGTAAATTTGTGTTTTAATAAATTATATTGTCAGAGGAAATAGTACTTGCAGACAGAAGGAACATCGATTAGAACTTTCATTTCATCCGATACTCCACAATAGTAATCAATTAATCCATTATGATAGGTGTTCATGATTCACCACAAGTATGTATGCACATACAAATTCATTTTTTAACAGGCATTTGATTTAGTATCTTGCGTCTACTGTCTACTATGCATATTAGGTTTAAAATGTCACGTCAAGCTGATCCCTAGATTATAGCCAATTTAGATTTGCAATAAGCAATTTGTCTCTTATATCATGACAATCCCCAGCTTATGGCCAAATTCATCATCTACTTTGTTGCATGCCTTTCATCACACCATTTTCTTACTTATGAAACAAGGAGAGTGATGCATGAGCTGAAATCTTTAAGGATAAAAAGCTATTTGTTAAAAATGATTCAGACAGAATTTACACCATACAATCATCACACACTTCTTCTGATGCAGATAACCAACTAAAAGCTGAAGCCAAAGAAGACAGAAGGCTAAAAGAATCAAGTTCATATAAATTCAAATTTCAGAGAGTTGCACTAGCAACGGTTTTGAGATTATTGTAAGTATCTCAAACATCAGTATGTGACAGCAATATGTGGGAAATATCTAACTGGCCAGCTCTGCTGCAAGAAAATCCAACAGACCCATACTTGAAGACATGACATGGCTATAACGTAATATATATTCCAAGAAAAATTCACATTTTAATGGCTGAAGATATGAGTAAAGAATCTGGACAGGAGCATGCATTAACATGTAGTGGAAGGGACCAGTAACAGGAGTGTTTCACTTACACGGAACAGTTGAGGTTGACACTTCTGAATCAAATGATGCCCCATTCATGAAATCTAGATAAGAGTTTCCTGAAACAATAAGAGTTTCACATTTTTCATCAATAAAATTTTAAATGGCAAATGAGATACCAATATAACTAGAATCAGGACAATAGTTTTCCTAGCCACAAAATGTTCCCAGTAAACACGATGATGTTCGAAAGGGAATGGGGAAAACTTGCCATTTTTAGAAATATATCGTATCTGTGGACCAGTGTAAACTGCTTTGTGCACGATAGCTCTTTTCTTAACTTCTTCTTCTCTTGCTAACACCTTTTCCAAGTTTCTCAAATTCATAATCTCTGCAATGATTGTAATACCACAGAATTACAAGGGGTGAAATGAGCATACAATAAGTACAGAAAGATAATGACACATCATTGGGGTTAATGACATGGAATGCACCTGTTTGAGCTGCTTCCAGAAGCATCTCTTCTTGCGTCATCCTCTTCTCCTCACCTTCCTTCTTTCTTTTTATTGGCTGAAAAGTGTAAACAAGGTGATTAGTAGAACACGTCCGGAATACAATCTAATTTTTACCCCAAAGATGAAAATGGTCAAAAGACCAACGGAACATGAAAACATCATCAGTAAATGGGTTCCACGCACTTTGTGGCTTCCACCAAGATTTTACACAGATTAATTGAAATTTTAATAGAAATAGATAAGTGAGTTTATCGGTAGAAATATCATAAATAACTGTTTAACATTCTCATAATCTGAGATGACAAAGTTAATCACGCATTACAAAAAAAATTGGGATTATGTCCTGGAAAAAAAACACATGAGATAATGTTTCTGATTTTACTGTTGCATAAGAGAACAACACAAAAACTACACTTGATCTGGTGTTATCAAATATTTCTTATCCTTTGTCCATGAATAAATTCAGAAACAAACTAATGTCGGTAACCACATCCAGCACTTAAACATTTTATTTCTTTAAGTCATCATGATAGTTTTAGCATTCATTTGTTTCTTAAGCCATTATCCAAAAGTTTGTTTTGAGTTTGAATAATTAGTTGGCTGGACTACTTCCCATCCTTGTGGAAGTAAACTCATCATCATTGCAGTCACCTTAAGAGAATCCAACTCTCATGATTCTGATACCTATTTTTCTTAGATGAGCAAAGGAATGTCTCCTCTTCCATGCAAACCATATTCATGCCCATCACTGCACCATACCTTCATTGTAGCTTGCAATGCTGCACGTATTGCATCTCGCTCCGCTTGCCTGATAATCACCGAAGTTCTGGTTGATTTCCTAACTGTTTTCTCGGCCTCGGCATCATTGGTATCATCATGATGCTCAGGACTCAACTGGTCCACAGATTTCTCATCTTTGGGCACACTTTCTGACTTAGAAATCGCCGTGTCTTTCTTCTTCTTCTTCTTCTTTGCTGATGGCTTTCCTGGAAATATTAGTTTCTTCTTTGTCCTCCTATTTAAAAAAAGAAAGAGGATATTTAAGGAAAAAAAAAAAGAAAGGAGCATAAGTTTTACGATCTTATGTGGTTATTTACTATCCAGAAGAGGAAGTCAAACCTCTCATTAGGTTCATTTTCGACTTCTTGATCGGGCTCAGGCTCCTATAGCATTATACAGTAAGCCAAAGTCAAGATAAATGGTGAATATTGCTAAAACTTGTACAAAATTATAGCTTACAGATTCATCGAAGTCGCTATCAAAAACATCAGCAACCTCTCCTTCTTCCTCATACTCTGCATCATGCTCTTCCTACAAAACGCAGATGCCACAGAAAGTAATCTGTGATTATGAAGGGCTGGTTATATTATCTTCATCAGTAACAAATGAATTTCATTTATCTAAGATCTCATCAGCCATCAAACTTCACAAGAAACCTACATATTTTTACACATACATATACATTTTGTCTCCCTTATTTTTTTTTTCATTTCACAACACACAAGAGATTGGTTTTTCAATCACTTGAACAATGTAACCGCTCGCCTTTGACAATAGTTTCTCCAAGGTCATCCCTCTATCAGGTATACCCCATAATTTTCCATATTATCTCATCTCTATGAACTCCATGGGCTCTAAGTCCTAAGCACCACTTGTATAATTTTCTTTGCTTATTCTTCTCTTTCTCCAGAATTCCGGAAACAGCCTAATCACAAGGACGAACACTGAAGATAATAAAAAATTAACAAAAAAATCAACTTCTACATCATGTTAAATAAACACGACCGCACCCCATACAGCGAAACATACACTTGTATTACCAAAATGAACAGAAACATTACCTCCTTAAGAGCATCTTGATTCCAAAAGAGCTCATCTTCTTCGAGCTCCTCATCAACCAATTTTGTCAACCTATCACATAGTTTTTAATTTCATTTTTATCTAATTATGCACAAAGGGATTTCTAGTGTAGAAATAGTTCACGTACCGTTTGCCCCTGGTGGCCCGAGAGGCACGATCAAGAAATGTGTGCTGCTCTGCCTCTTCTTTGCTGGTATCCATTGAATATTACCCTACAAACCCACCCCTATCCCCAGGGAAAAAAAATGAAGGAAGAAGTAAATAAATACAAAGAATAAAAGAAAAGGAAAGAGAAAAAAAAAAGTGAACTTCTGTCCTATAAAGAAAATCAAGTTTTGATATCTAATCTAATGGTAGCATTCCATCAAAACATGATTCACAACTCTACAAAAGCAGAAAAAGACTTCAAAACGGCGAACCGGATGAAAAAAAGTACATGATAACCGACAGCAAGAAGGTATTTCTCTCCCACATGTCCCCCAAAAAAGTAGTTGTCTATCAGTTTTTCACCCTCTCCATTCAACCAGAAACTTCGCTGAATTGTACAAAAAAATCTTTGTGTAACGCCCCACTTTTATTTGTCGAAAATCAGAATAAATTTTCCAAATTTATTTTCAAACACCTGAGGCGCTACTCATTTTTCAAAACAAACTTCAATATTTACCCAATTTTTCAATACTCAATCAGTCCTCACTATCAATCACCAATCATTAATCATCAATCATCAGTAATTACTAACTCCCAAACGGGTTTTTCCAAGAGTATAAGTCATTACCCAAACTGGGTTTCAATAATATTCATAAGTTCTAAGGAGCATCTCCTTGTCATTATTCAATCATAAAATCCGAAATTCATGACAGCAATATTATTCCAAATTCATAAATGCGGAAGCATAAACAATAATAGGACCAGTCTCATAGACCGACCACCACTCGCTTAACTCCGCCGTTGCGCTTAACCTGAAATGTGAATTTCAGGTGGGGATGAGCACAGTTGGAAAAAGTAGCATTATCCATAGTTAAGAAACAATGATCAATAATCAATAATATGCTAGGTATGGTCGTTGCACATATATGAAACAATCATCTATCCCAATCTCCCATCAATAATATCAATAATAGACTCGTGTGCACACCTAGCAATAGACTACTGCCGAACTATATACCGAACGCCTTATCTAAGGTGTCCGACCAGTAGGAGTATCCTCCGTCGGCCGAGCACCGCCCTGGTCTCACAACGGGGAACCGACCGAGCACAGCCCTGGTCTTACAGGCGTAAAGAACCCCACGGGTTTCGTTTCATAAATACGGGGATAACCGTTCGACGGCCGATACAGCTCACATCGAAGGCTACATGTTCCACATGCATACTTGATCATACCAAAATTTAAAACAGTAATAACATTTACAGCATAGACAATTTTACATTAAACCCACCTGGATATAGCAAGAGGTATAGCCAAACACAGAGTTGAAGGAATTATGACACAAGTTCAGCTCGAAGAACCTACAACAATTATAATAGCCTATCACTGACTATCCAATATAAAATACCACACAAAGAACATATACTTGGTCGAAATCATATCGACTAAGCGACTCGTGGATTCCTTGACCGAGTTAAGTAATTTGGAGTGACTACTAGACCTGGACACGACTCATATACCTCAAATATTTCACATAAAACATGTCAACATTAAATTAATCCTATCCGAACCTAACCAACCGATAACCGAACATTTGGACTTCAAAATAAACAAAATTCGGAATCAGAGGTTAGGCTCAGCCAATCAACCTGAAACTTTGCCACATTATAAAACATGCAAAATCACATAAACTCAACAAGTTTCAGCCCTAAATTCATCCGTGAACATTTTTAAATAATTAAAGCAAAAAAAGCGCCAAAATCAGCGTTTAATAATTCGCAAAGCTACCCTTCGAATTTTAATCTGAAACTTTAACACCACCTAAAACATCACTCCTGAAAGTTTCAGCTCAAAACTCCAAGTATACGATTTTTAATGATTTTTATAAGTTTCTGCACAGAAATCATTTTAGGCATTTGAACACGAAAAACTCCAAAATAAAATCCGAGAATTGGCACACATATTCCAGATACTCATTGGCACAACATATCAAAAATTCAGCTCAAACGGATAACGACTCGATTTATGGTGAATTTATTACGATTCAGCAGCATGCTCGATTTCGAAAAATCATCTCTCTCTACATATAACTCGAAACGACTTCAAACCAAAACTAAACAATTAAGGACAACTCCAAGTACTTATAACTCCAGGATTTCCACGAAAATACCACATTACAATCAGCTCGACAATATTTCAAAGTGACGGCAATCACTTTGATATCCAATTCGCACATATTAAATAATATCCTCACAATACTTATTCAATAATAACTCATTAACATATATTAACACATATGGTTCGAGGTAACACGTCACACGAACACATTCACATAATCGAGCACATAATATCACGCAAAAATAAACGAGACGGGTCAAGCCTTGTACCGGGGGAATCGAACGAAAATGGCACCAAAGGTTGACGGGCTCGAACACGCAACACGTCTCGGCTCGACTGAAGGGGGTGGTTGCTGCGTGCTCCCAGTTCACCGGAGATGGCCGCCGAACTCGCCGGAGGGAATGGTTGACGGCTTGCAGCGATGGAGGTCGGAACTCGCCGAGGAACTTCGCGGTCTGCTGGTTCTCGCACGGTGGCTCACGGCGAGAGAAAACAGCGAGGGAGGACGCCGCTGCACGGAGGGGAAGGTCGACGGTACAGAGGTGCTGTCCGGCGGTGGAGCAGTCGTCTGAGCGAGAGGATGAGCTCGTCGGCAAAGGTGAGTGGTCGCGAGGTCGCTGCTCGGAGACGGGGCCGCCAAACTCGCCGGGAGGAATTTGCAGAGGACGGGAGAGGGCGTGCCTGGTTGCCGGAAGTCGCTGGTTCGCAGTGGTACTCGCCGGCGGAAGGAGGTCGAGGTGTTGCAGCGTTCGGGAGTCGCTGGAAGCAGGGCCGGCCGCGGCGGCGAGATGGGGCTGACGAGATGCGCTCGTCGCGGAGGAGATGAACGCCGAGAGATGATGGTGGCGGGATGAATAGGCAGCGGAAAGGGTGGAGATGATGATGGCGATGATGAAGAAAAGCGAGGGTGATGGTCAGATTTGCGAGAGATGGAGGATGCGCGATCGATTTACTCTGTTCTGCTCAAAGTCGCGGTCGAGAGAAGAAAATAGGATTAGGTTTAGAGCCTTTATCCTCAAGACACTCAACACACACTTGGGCGGGCCAATTCGGTTCGGGCCGACGGGTTCGGGGCACCAGGTTAGGGGCTGGTTCGGGCGAGGGATCAAGGAATGAATCGGCTCTCGGGCCCGACTAGACGTAGCATCAATTCGGTTATTTGGGCTCGATAAATTAAATCGCAAGATAAAATAATTAAGTCGGATATTATTTATATTTATAATACACACAATTATAAAATAAAAATATTATTAATAATACAAATACACACATAATATTAAATAATAACATTTAGACATTTAAGCATTTAGTTACAATTTGGCAAAATAAGTAATATTTAGACAATTAGACATTTAATCGCAATTTGATAGATAAATTATTTTAGATATTTAATAATATTTAGTATTCAATAATAATAATAATAAATAAAGATAAATAATAATAATAATAAATACATAATTCTCAAATATTCTATAATCAAACGGGACATTACACTTTGTATCCCAACTCTTTTAGCAGAAGGCGAATTCAGGTGAACTACGAACAGCATGGTAGCAAGCTTTATCCACTATCGCAGACCAACTAATCATGCACATTCTTATCTTTCCATCGGGTTTTCTACGTTATCCTCCCACAAAAGACAGCTACATTAATAAGAGGGCGTACAGAAGAAATTTGACAACTCATGTCCATTTTCTCAGTAACAAAAGCAAGCACCGCTATCCTATGCCTCTTATTTCGAATGCAATTGAGATACCAAAAACAAATTGAAGCAACCTACCGAATTAATTAACATGATACAATATTCAAGAGAAAATTATTACACACTGAAATAAAATTTGGAAGCTATAGATAGTGAAATTAGAGCAAACCTGATGAATTCAGATCGAGAGCGAACTCATCAGTTTGGGATTATCTCTTACTCAGGTTTATCTATCAGTTTTCTCTATTGAAGGGGAGGGGAAGGAAAAACATTAGTTCCCCATGTTTGGTTCGATTTTTTCAGTGGCAGAGGAAGGAAAAAATTGGTAAAAAATCCTCTTAACAGTGATTTTTCCTCCACTTCAATTTTGGGAGGATTTGGCTGGGAAAGAAAATATTAATGAGGAAGGAGAAGAAGAGGGAAAGGGACCAACGTTTCCCGAGGCAGCGGAGGAGGATGACCACGGCGGTTCTTCACCGGATTATCGAAGGTCACGGCAACAACGATGCCGGAAGCCAGGTGGTTAGATGGAGTGAGGTGTGCCGGCAGCTGTTAATGGTACACTGACCGGAGATTGGAGACAAGAGGCATTTGTTTGGACGCGGATAAGTTATTTTGGACTCCAGTTAATTTTGAAAAGTGGATTGCTACGGACGAGGTTGTTTATATACTGCGAGTGTTCACACTAGGGGCGGTACCGTAATTACCTGGTTTGTTGCGTTCACACTTAAAAGCAGGACGAGGTTGATTTATATACTGCGAGTGTTCACACTAGGGGCGGTACCGTAATTACCTGGTTTGTTGCGTTCACACTTAAAGAGTTGGTTATATACTGCGAGTGTTCACACTAGGGGCGGTATTTAACCAACTCTTTAAGTGTGAACGCAACAAACCAGGTAATTACGGTACCGCCCCTAGTGTGAACACTCGCAGTATATAAACAACCTCGTCCTGCTTTTATATAACCAACTCTTCAAGTGTGAACGCAACAAACCAAGTAATTACGGTACCGCCCCTAGTGTGAACACTCGCAGTATATAAACAGGATATAAAAAGTTTTTGTTTTGATTGAATTTTTTGTGTAGATTGGTTAAATTTGAAAAATTGGTATGATTAGTTGTTAGTGAGTATATTAAAATAATATGATTAAAATTAAATTGATGTAACAGTATGAGAGAGAAGATGTGATGCGATTGTTGGTTAAAATTATGTGATGGCAGGAAACTGGCGATCTATGCCTCACGATTATGGCCCCGTTTGTTAGATAGCGGATTGAGGATAAATTCACGGATTGGACTTAATTGAGAAGTTTGACCCGTCAAATCCGCTGTTGAACTTGTTTGGTAAATAACTTATTTGATAAGCTTTTTGGGCCCAAAACTCTAATTTAGAAAAAACTCATTAGAGCAGCTTTTTGGGATAGAGGATTCACAATTGAGAGGTTTTACTTATAACTTTTTAATTTGTCTTATTTATTTTACAATCTACATTGGTTTATAGAGCTAATAAATAATAATATGTCATCCATATGATTAATTTATCTAGAAAAATGTAAAATTCATAACTCTTCATCAAGTGTTAGTAAATTTAAAAAAAAATATATATATTTATAAATTACCAACTAAAGAATATTAAATGTTTTAATATATTATTATTACAAAAATACACCATAAATAATAAAATGTCCTTATTGGTCATTTTGCAATTTCAAACAGTTATAAGCTTTCAGCTATTTACCAAACACTTATTTAAAATCCGCTAATGTGATCCGCTGGTCAAATCAGCTAATATAATCCGCTATTCGCTATCCGCTGATACAATCCGCTATCCGCTATCTGCTATCCGCTGATCGCCAAACAAGGTCTATGAACAGTGAATTAAAGTTGATGTTGTGTGTAAAAATGATTGATTGATATTATTTAATTATCAATTAAATAATATTAATGATAGTGAGTTTGAGTTAAAGTTGAGTTAAAAAACAAAAATCAAACATTACTATATATTTTCCAAAAAATATATATAACTCGCCTTATATATTTTCTAACTATAATCTATAAATTAATATTATTTTTTTTATACCACAACAATATTATTCACTATTCATTCATAATATCAAAGCTATCTCACAAAAAACAAAAAGAAAAAAAAATCTCCTTTTTCATCTCAATTTTGGACGAGACAATTTTTTTCAGAAATAATTTTTCATCTCATTTTGATCTGACATTTTTTTTTTTCAAAAAGGAACAAATATATACATATAATATATTAGATCAACAAATGATTTAATTCCGTGTACTTCATAAAAAAATAGCTTCAAAAGCATTACAACAGGTGCATAATCAAACAACAAAATAACTATTTCTGTTATTCCACTTTGATTTCTACTATTAAACAAGAACACAAGAAGAAGCCAATATCCTTCATAGCAAGTAGAAGAGTGGGTAACAAAGCAAACTAGTAAGGGCTTACACTAGCCAATGATTTTGTAACAAATTATTGTCATATAAACAATGAAACTTAGGAAGCTCCACCAGCCTCAGCAGTTTTTGATTGAGATGATTCCCAGAAGGAAGTTGCTTTTCCAGTCTTCGAGACAGCCTTTAGAACTGCTTCTGGCTTGATATTCCCTTTCACAATGACTTTTTGCTTCTCGAAATCAATGTCGAATGATTCAACGCCTGTTCAGACAAAGAATATTCCAACTATTAACATTGCACCACCTTACTAACAAGAAATACCATGATGATAATACAACTCACAATGAGTGCATAATCAATCACTGAGACACAATTGCACTCTGCCCTATGGATATAAAGAAATTTGTGCAATAAAATATATAATATTCAAATATACTTTTATATACATTAACAACACTGTTGAAACAATGGTCACATGCTGATACAAAGGAGATAAGGTTCCTGGTAATGAATAAATACTAATAATACATTAGAAACTTGAAACTACATATATTATATATATATCCATATTTCATATATATCAAGGACAAAAGCCCAACAGAGATACTATATACATGGTCCGTCAAGGAATGATTAAAACATAATCTCAGATTATATAGTTCCCATTAATTAACTACAACATAAATGACTTTAGGTAGCACTAAAGAAAGGATACGTAAAAGCTATAAAATGTTACCTATAGACAATAGGTAACACAATATTGGCGCTGCAGTTGTTTGTGCTACCTAAAGTCAAAGGTAATACTTTTTGTAGCTTTTAATAACACTTATATGATACTTTTGCTAGTTTTTGGTAACACTTATTTTAAAAGTGTTATAATAATATGATACATAAACCAATAATTTGCAAAGTATTACCATAAATGGTGCTACCTAAAGTCATATTTATGTTGTAGTATATATATATATATTGAAGTTCATGGAAAGATTGCTCGACTCTGCTAATTGGCTAAAGGCAACTTGAATTACAAATACATGAATACATGATGATGATGATGAAAAGAAGATTTCACTGATACATGGTTAAGGCACAAACCTTCTGTCTTTCCAAGAACCCTCTTCACGGCCCCAACACAGCCTTGGCAAGACATAGCAACCTTAAGCTCAACAGTCTGCAATCAGGGACAAAGTTAAAATACCAGAAAAAATTTTGCTAGGACAGTCAATCCAAAGTTGTATATCACCATCTAGGAGCTTACAAATAATACATTGGAGTCTTAATCACAATAATTTCAATCAGAAAAAAGGAAACAATAATGTTTACAACCAAGCAATCGAACAAAACATGCTTCAGATTTCAGCAGCAAGAAATTCATCGAACATCCAGAAGGGTACCAATGTTTATTGCATAACAAGGGATTAGCTGCAAATTTATTAATATCACAAGTTGACAGTAATCATGGAATCTTGTGTAAAGCAGATGATCGAAAATTTGTCAAACTTAGCAAGTGGCCTTGTTTGTTCCCTGCCCTTCTCTTCCCAGGATCTGTACTTGAATTTTAAAGTCAAATGAATAAAAATAATCTGGTAGTAATCAAACTCTTCACATAAAGGGAATCCGATATTCCGATCCTATGCGTGAAATGAGCAAACTTGATTATCAGCCAAATACCTAATCTAATCTGATAACTTTTTCCCTTTTTTCAGCAAGAAGAAAAAAAAACCTTCAGCTGTATATTCTCATAACCCCAATTCCCTCAAACAAGGTACACGAGATCAGCAATCAAGCAAGGGAACACATGAAACAAATACAATGGTATCATAAAATCACATGGAAAGGGATAAGTTATACCTGAGACATGATTTGTTATAGCAGAGATGATTGTGATGATACGATAAAGTGGTGAATTTTGGGAATGGCGATTGGAAGGGGTAAAGGAAAGTCTCCTAGAGGAAAATAAAATGCAATCCATGGGTAATTGACTGTATTATAGATTTTTTTTAAGTGCCAATCAATTAGAGCTATCTTCATGGTATGGTCTTCAAATATCTTTAAATAAAATTAAATCATAGCCCTAGTATCAACTCATGACTTTTAAAAATCTTTTTGTTTATGGGCATTAGTAAGAGGAAGTTTTTATTCGACTAACTTTATTAGCTAAATCAGCGAAATACTTTTATTATTGGAGCTATTTTTTCACATATCAACCGTAACTTATCAACTATAAGTTTAAGCTCCAAATTCATAGTGTGTGTTTGGTAATCTAGTTTAAAACCAAAATAATAAATGAGAAGTTGGTTGATAGCTTATATGTAAATTTCAAACTTATTACTAATAGATTGTAGCTAATGGATAATATTTATTTTATATAATAAAATTATTTGATAGAATTAGATTATAAGTATGTTGAAATAAAAACTTTAAATGGTTTTTTTTGAAAGCTACCCTATCAATTTCTTTATCAACTATCTTATCAGTTAGATATATCAAACACCATAAAACTAATCTTTTAATTATTGTTGTCCCCCATTTTTTTTAATTCTTTTTAATTACTGTCCAAAACCTTCCTAATAAAATTTAATTACTAGTACAATTTAATTACTAATACAACAGTCGTGTATTACACAGTTGTTACTTGAAAATTTTATGCATAAGAATTAAGAAATACATAATAGACATTTTTATTATATATTTTAAATACTTCCTAAAAATTGTATTTACTTATTTAAAATAATACTTATTATCTGTAAAACTCAATCACACTATATTATAAAACTACTACTTGAGAGCCATATTTTCTTACGGTTTGCTCCTTCATTGATCTTTTTTCATTAGTCTATGGCCATAGGAAATTTTATTGGAATTTAATTTCAAGCTATATTTCAACAGTTAGAAATATTTGCGGTTGGAATAATCAAAATCAAACGAAAATTCTAATGGAAAACTTATTTCGACGGAATATTTTTATTAGAAATTTCATTAGAATATATTAGATAAATTCCATCAAAGAAATTAACATTGAATTATCGTTTGAATTCCACGAATATATTTCTACTAAAATTTCATCATTTTCTTGTAGTGTGTGGTACCATGAATACTATATGATGCTAAAAAAAATCAATCGAATTAGCAGATAAACATCGTGGGATATATAAAAGCATCAAACAAATTAATACAATAAATGATCTTTACTGAAAACACACACAATTCTTAATGAGTTGCACTTGATAAAAATTTGCGATCGATCTTAATCCAAAATCAAGTGAAAAATGAGACGGTACACATCTACGTTTGAGAATCTAAGGCCAAAATGGTGCTGAGATTCATGGGGTTCATGTAGTCCAATGAGCCTGACATGATTTGTTGAACAATAAGTCTATTGGCCCTTTCAGAAGGATGGAAGGGATCCCAAAAGGCATAAATATCTCTGTTAGGGCACAAATTGGACAGTTGTGTGCAAAGTCCAAGTCCATTGTAAGGTCCTTGCCCACAACATGCTACCTTTGATGTAACAAATCCTGAAATTAATTATTAAAACCATCAAATTGTACGTTATTGCATATATATATAATATTTATTTTATGATAATATTATATATTGATGAAGGTACCAAAGTCTTGAGGATTGTTGATGAAATCATAATGCGTAATTTGTGTATTGGCCGCAATAAAGACATTATCTCCGAGTTCGCTGTTGAGGCCTAGCAGCATTTGATTGAGCTGTGGGTTGAAAAGGGCAGCCGCTTGTTGGAGTTCTTGCGAGCATTCCCCATTTCTGCTTCGCATCGCCAGTTCTGCTGGGACGCACCCGAGTGGTCCGGTACCAGTCACCAAAACCCTTCGTGCCCCCAATTCATAAAGTCTCTGCAAATTAATATTTATAATTCATATATAATAATTAATGTTCTCACCTATAATTAAATAGTATAATGCAACTAGCTCGTTATTATTTGCTACAATGATTATGCATTTTTGTTAAGAATCTAATTAAGTCTACCTAGTCTAGCTCTTAATTAAGCAACATAATATCATTATTTGTGCTATATGAACACTCATACATTTGTTTTACTATGTCCAATATAATAATATAATTCATACCAAATTGCATGTATGAGTTATTATGTAAGTAGATGCTTATATTGATTATAAATCATATATCCATGCATGTATGCTTAATTGACAATTTTAAATTTAATTGGTAGAAAAACAATTACCAATAATATCTTGCGGTATTCGGAGATGAGATACGGAACATAATTCGGAATAGCCAATTGGCGGGAGCGTGCGGAGAAGGGAACCAAATAATAGTTGTTGACAAAATCGTTCCCTCCCAAAGTAATGAGAACCAAAGCTTGGTTGACCAATCTTTGGGTCTCATCGACTCCTATAAGCGCACTCACTCTACGCTGATATTGTTGGAAATACTGTAATTGCTGCCCGATTCTGATAATGTTCACCTGAAAGAAAATTCCATTCAAAATGTTATTTTGAGAAAAAAGTGAGATGATTTGAGATTATGAATAAATAGAATTTAAAGTTTGATATAATATATAAAACATGCCTTTTAAGACTACATATAGAAAGAAAAATGTAAATTTAACATTATTTTAATACAATAGTTGAGAACTTGAGATAGGGTGATGTGCAGGCGTAAGAAATATTTTTGTGAAAAATATGAGGTGACTTTAATAAACTAATGTTCCTAATTATCCGAAACAAGCTAGATCTAGTAATTTGTACAAATTTGTTATTACACTAATGTTACTAATTATACAAACAAGCTAGATCTAGTAATTTGTACACGTTTGTTATTACACATTGAATGACTCTGAATTTCATGCTACCCGTCACTACGTGAGATGAATATGCATTGACACATCGTGGAATATATTTATATTAATAAGAAGCCAAAAGAAATTTATCAATAAGGCTAATGTAATTTGGTGTTTATATATATATATATACACTCACAAATTGAACTCCGGTGTCATTTAGAATGCCAACGCCGGCGGATGCAAAGTTGGCTCCGACAAGTAATCTTAGCCCATTCAGTGCTGGACTCAAGTACGGCAGAGGTGACTCGCTCGCCCCAATGCTCTCACCTGAAACAAATTAGTTACTTGATTAATTCAAATTCATCATAACTAATTCATTATTCATAAAAGGGTAAGGAGAAAAAAAAAAGAAACTCATTAATCAAGAAGCTCAACTTTTGTTATTTCTATTTTTTTATTTATTTTGGTAAGTATCTTTTAATTTAATGGTGACACGGGGACTACGAGGGTNAAGTCAGCTCAACCTTTAGACGGACTGGACTCATTATGTTGCGAAAAATATCATATTTTACTTTATGTTATTATTGCTTAGATGTATGACATTTTAATTTGAAATTGTGCATATTTATTAAAAAAAACATGGTCACTAAACATGTTCACTAAACACATTATAGTTTATTTGGTCAACTTATAAGCTTACTGTATTCAAATAAGTTTTGTTTGGTAAGACGAATTTTTTTAAAAAGTTCGATATTGTCTCATAAGCTTCTTTGGGTAGCTTTCTGATAAGCTCGTTGAAATTTTAATTTCAGCCAGCTTATCAACTAATTTTATCATATAAGCTAGCTTTTCAGCTATAAATCAGAAACTATAAACTCGAAAATCACTTATAAGCTATATATATACCAACCATTTTTTTAGGTTGTAATAAACAAGCCGAGACTTACTGATAAGATCAGGGATATTAAGGCCATTGGAAAAACGGCCGGTTGCCCTGCGTGAAGGAAAATCGATACCATAAGGTGGTGCATCCGCACGAGCCGTAGTAGCCAAGTAGTTGTTGTTTCCACTATCTACCAAAGAGTCCCCAAACACGAAAAATGCACGACCCTCCACTCGAATATGAATCGACGTGCCCAAAAATAGGGCCAAAATTATAAGGCAGCTCGTAGAGTAGAATGCAGCAGCCATTGCAGGGGTGTGGCCAAAATAAGACTTGATGATCGATCGAGTTTGTTTATGCAAAAAAGATGCAAGAATATTGGCATGCATATAAATGTATGTATGCGTATATAAAGGAAAAAAAATAAAGGCTTTGGGGTACGTACTGTGAATGAATTAATAAAAGCATGCTGGATGATATGGTTGGGAAAAAAGGGCCACCACCATAAAAATTAAAAACAAGACAGTGTAGAGCAAGTGGCAGGGTGGATGTGGTAGCTCATTGCTATTCAATTGGACAGTTGTCTACTGGCTGGTCACATTGTTTGTCCAATTATTTCATTAAAAATAAAAAGAAGAATTTAATTGATCAGTTATTAGCATGTGGTACACTACACAGGTGCAATAAATCCTTGCTATTTAGGGTGGTTGGTTCAGTTGTGGTCTTTACTCCTTAGTCTTTACCCCCTTCCTGTTTTTTGTCCTAAAACAAAGAAATAAGCTAGCCAGATCAGATCTACTTCATTCATAGGATATCTGTGGAATCACTAATAACGAACCATTAGGTACTGGTGAGATGGTTGATTCATCATTAATTTGGAACCAAAGAATTTAGATTAAGGAAGCCTTATACTTGGTGGAAATTGATGAATTGAAAGTCAAATAAATAATCTTTCAAATGGAGAGTTTAATTGCAATTACAAATGGTGATCCGATAGAATTGGATTACAAGGACAGTGGGAAACTGAACCTAGATTATCTATGCATTACATAGTGGTTGTTGGAAAAATGAAGAAAAAAATGAGTTATTTTTCTAATATGAAAGAATTAAGTAACATGAGTCTCAACCTTACATTCTTAATCCAAAATTTAATTTTTCGAAGATAATAAATAAACCACTAAAATATCTTTTCATTAGAATATTTTACTCTTTTTTTGGATAATTTTATTTTTAACAAAAATACCACATAGTTGTAAATCGCTAGGCATTTGAAAACAAAGTAAATATGAAATACCACCGTCATTTAATCAGGTAGATAGATATACAATCGATAATTAAAATAGTCGAAAATGGTTTTATATATCATAAAATAGCAGTTTCATAAAATGAAGTATAGGTAGTATATTTGACCTACCAAAACAAAAAGTATAGGTAGTATATTTGCAAATAAAATTTGAAAAGGCTTTCCATTTATTTATTCATATGATATGAGAAACTCTTCACACTGCTTCTACTTCTCTTGCCTCCAAATGTGCCTAGCTGTTTTTGCATTGGCTGTATAAATCCTTGGGGAAATAGATAAATGGCCATGTGAGCAACATAAATGACACCCAATAAATATCAACTACTCACCAACAAATGCTGAAAAGCACCTAATAAATTATGGTGCAACACATCCACAACTCTTCTCCTTATCTCTGTCTCAAAGATAAATGGAAATTGTTGAAAGATGTATTAATTTCAAAGTACTAAAAAGCGTTAGGCGTCTCTCTAGTTGGAATGCTGGCGCTTAGAGCATCTCCAATGTGACTTTTGACATTATAAAAATTCATCCATATCATCAACTTTTGAAAGTTTGTTACAAATTTATTCTCCAATGCATCTTGTCATAAACTCTTTCATGATGAGGTGGATAGCATTTAATGTTGACAATGTTAAACACACTTTCTAATATCTAACACCATGTTAAACATGATGACTAATCAATTCACTTTATATTTGATTTAATTTTTTATTGTTCTTGTATTAATGATTATTTTAATTGGTCCACCTATACATATAACTTCTTATCAAATTGATGCATTGGAGATACTAATTTGATTCAAATTTCTACTCTATTAACATTACATGGGTTAACATTACAATCATTGATTGACATGTGTTAAAAATTATTGTCTTTCAAAGTTATAACATTGGAGATGCTCTTAACTCTTATTAGACGGATTAAACGGGTCTAGGCGACTAAAATATTAATAAATTTATCTATATTTATAATTGTGATAGCTTACAAAAATACATTTTATAAAATACAATAATTAGTACGGTTAAATACATTATTTTTAAAATTTTATATACTTACAGTTATTATATTAATTTTACATTATTATTATTTTCTAACTTTATAATTATTGTAGATTTATATATTTTCTCTCACATTTTTTAAACCTTGCCCAGGAATCAACTTGGGCCAGCCACCCGGTCACCGATTCAACTGTTGGATCACCGATGCAACTGTTGAACGGATAATTAATTTTTAAAATATTTTAAATTATATATATAGTATTTTTTATCAAATAAATATACATAAAAGTAATATAAATAAATATTTTGTATATAAATTTGTACTTAATAATATTGTAACCCATAATAAATATTTATCATATAACTAGACATATAAATTTTTATTTTCTTAATAAAAAAAAATTACAGTGACCGACTCAAATTGAGTTGATCCGGCTAGGACGATGTCCTCGACCGGGTCAAGGCCGGGATGACCAGTTTTGATGCCACCTAGAACGTAGTCACTCCCAATTGAAGTATGCTGATGAACGGTGAGGTTAGTGCACTCCACTCACGTATAGGATCTGAGCTTTTCCCATTTGTTTGGTGTTTGCCATTTGGTGAGAAATCCAGAATCTCCCCATCAACAATGAGCCGCAAAGAGTGGAAAGCAGAAAATTATTACTCCAAAGACTTCGATTGGGAGCGACTGAGGGAAGAAGTGGAAACCGACCCTTCTCTTCACTTCCATTTGCTCCCCGAAAATACTCCCAATCTAAATGATGAAGACTCTGCTGTAGCCTGGGATAAGTTTCATGCCCGTCATTCCACCGGCAAGTTCTTCAAGGTAAATTCCAAAGAGATGTTGGGGTTTCGTTCTAATTTCCTCCAATTCGGATGATATCATAAATGGATTTTCTCGCTAAACACCCTTGATCGCTTGTGTTGAAATTACTGTGTTTATAATTCATGAGCAACCTCTATCTGTATGCGAGTATGGCTTAGGAGAATATGTACTGTTGTCGATAGTTAGGTAATAGCTCATCAGCTAGACATCTTTTTGGCTGTCAATTACTCATTTTCCATTTCATAATCAGCTAGACATCTTTTTTGGCTGTCAATTACTCATCTTTTTGGCTGTCTCAAACTCATTCCTATCCAGCAACACATTTTATTGTACTTGTGATCCTTTTGCCACTACTGAACATTCTTTGGGAGGCAGGAGAGACGTTACTTGTTAAAGGAATTTCCAGAACTAGCATCTTGCGAGGACAATTCTAAGGTTTTGGAGGTGGGCTGTGGTAATGGGAGTACTGCTCTACCAATATTGTGGTAATCTTTGTATTTTTTTTTTATTTGGTGGCTTACTAGCGTTCATGAAGTCATTCATTATTATTCTTAATCTTCTCGGTTGTAATTTTGGTAAGGAAAGAACACTAGTTGACTACAAAACACTGGTCAGTGTAAAATAATGTACTTACAGACATCGCTGTTGTTGTGTCTTGTGTGTCTCCAACTCTTCCCTTATATACATATGTTTACTCAATGATTAGAGCTCACATTAGTTTTTACGTTTTCTATCAGTATATTTCAACTGAATTTTCCAGAAGTTAATATGGAGTTCATCTGCAGTGCATTTTTTTTTAACTCATCTGTGAGTTTCCTTCTTAAGATTAATGAAATTTCCAAGTGTGATAAAATTCATTATTCTGAATGCAGAGGTTTTACTTGTTTCTTTTTTTTCATTTCCAAAAGCTTTCTCTGTTTTAGAAGATTTTTAATGTCAAGCAACAACTTGATGAAGAGGAGGTATCATCTAAAACAAATATGACATAGTGCCAGCAACAAAATTTGTGCCTGGTGATGTTCTTTATTCCAAACTCCAAACTCACTTAAAAACTCATAAATAATAGACTATGAAGCATAGTTTGGGTTCTTAGCTTGTCGAAATCACTGCTTTATGTTGATATTCTCCCATGTGCATTGAAATTTGTCTATGTATGTTATTTTGGTTGGTAGGGATGTTTTGATTGTCGTGGTTCTTACTCTGATCGAGAACCTAGCATCGGACTTTTGTTGATTAATGTAACGATGAAAGTGGGTTATATGTTTATCTACTTTAAATCACTTTCAGCCCTCTCATTTTGGCAGGCATGTTAGCTGATTTTTTTAATTTTTTTTTTGGCTGTCACGAATTCCAACTACCATTCTGCATCTTCCTCAGTAGCCTGTATATCTGTTAAATTTTGCTTTATCTTATGCAGTGGACGAGAGGGCATCATCTTATATGCCTGTGACTGTAGTAGCACGGCTCTTGAGAAGGCTAAAGAGATAATTAGTTCTGCCAACTCCCTGTCTGCTAACGCTCGTTTTAACCCATTCCTTTGTGATTTCTCAACAACTGGGTTTCCTTCGTGGTTGGCCTGCAATACCTGTAAGTGTAACCATTCAGGACTTTCAGGTGCCACTTTGTTACCATTTGTGTTTCCATCTTTTCATGTTTGCTTCAACTTGATACGCTCAGAAGTATGTTCTTGTGCTATTTTCTTCTGAGGTTTATCCAGGTACAAGCAGATGTAATGGGATAGATGCTTTTAACTCATTATGCCCCGATGGAACCAAATGCTGCATTGGTGGAGTAGATTTTGTTACTTTGGTACTTAACATTCTCTTGTTGCTATTTATGTATCATCATATCCTGAAGATATATTTATATTTTAGTTGAGTAATTCTAACTTTTAACTGTCTTATTTGTGCCAGATATTCACTTTATCAGCCTTACCGCCTGACAGGATGCCTAAGGCCATTGCACAGTGTTTTGCAGTTCTAAAGCCAGGTGGCCTGCTTTTATTCAGAGATTATGGTAAATATCAAACAAATTGAGTGCATATGGATATTCATTCCTTATTTTCCATGGTATCTTGAAGTCTTTCTAAATGCGGCATGAACTTGAATATGACATTGTTTTCTGGTGTGACAGGTCTGTATGATATGACCATGCTTCGATTTGAGCCTGAAAATAGAATAGGATATCGAGAATACTTGCGTTCAGATGGAACTCGGTCGTATTTCTTCTGCTTGAATACTATCAGAAGTTTGACTACTGCCGCAGGTTTCACTGTGGTATGTTTTAATGTGTGTGTGTGCGTTCTCATTTCCATGGAGGATATATTGCTAAATTGGTGGTACTAATAGCTCGTTCAGATCATCTGATGAGCATCATTTACCTGTTTTTATGTGCTTGTGCTTTTAGTGGTGATAGGGTGGTTTATAGGCTGCTCGAGGATTGTTATAAAGAGTAGCAAATTATATCAGTTCTAAAGAAGTCTCCGAGGATTTATTATTTGTCTTATAGTGTTGAACCTTTATTTTTGTGAATATGGCATAAAATTATATGGCTTTGGTAAAGTAATGCAGATACATGTACTTATATGATTGTCATTGTTGTGTGTGCAGATAATACATAATTAGTACTATTGCACACCAGGGTTAATTTTCTTGAACAAGCTTTGAATTTATATTGCAACTAATAAGAATATTGTTTTTTGCATTTTCCTTATGAACAGAGGAGCCAACTAATGCAATGTAGTTTTATTCTTGAATTACGTGCTGTTTTTACGTTGGTTACTAAAGCTAATGTCGTGAGAATTTTTTTGTAGCTCGAGCTTGAATACTGCTGTGTTAGGTCAGTGAATCGCCGGAAAGGGAAGATCATGAACAGAGTATGGGTTCATGGGAAGTTTCAGAAGCCCACAGGTGACTGAGAAAACCCAGCTTTTGTTCTCGACTGAAGATTTTTGACGTGAGTCAAAATCGTAAAATGTTTTGGTCTCTCAATAGTAATTTCGGTAGTTTGCATTTGGAGCTACTTGTTGAGATCTGAGGAAATGATTTCAAATGATTACCTGATGTGGTGTGAAATTGGAGTATAGCACAGACTCAAAAACTTGCTTAAAGTTGGAGCTTTTAAGGATTTGAAATCCATGATTTACAAAATTAGCAAACTGGAATTTGTCAAGTTTGTCTCCTCGTCTTTGTCAAGAAAAGTCCAAGGACTTTTGCTAGGGAGATGCAATATCTTACTTCTTAGTTGAAATTCTGTTCAGGTTATATTCCCGTTTAATTTGAATCGTTCTTAATAAAATGTTTTATTTTTTGTTTCAACATGCTATTCACTTTTGTGTCATCATTTGTTCATTACGTGTGTAAATAAATATATTCGTCAACTTATTTAGCAAAGTCGGCCTGAGGAATAGACTAGTATTCCGAAGATTTTTTATTGTGATTTGTAGCTGAAATTTTGTTATTACTATCAATGGGATGTTTACACATGTATATATTCAATGTTCATATATTCAAAAGTTCTTGTTAATTGTGCGTATTTGCCATCATTCAATTAACACACCAACTATTCTTACCTTCATTTAACATTATTTGGTGTTATTTGTGGGTCTCTTTTAAGTTCCACATACATATATAAACTCTTTATTTAAAACAACACATATATAGAATAATAAAAAAATCATCATTATACATTATCTAATAAATTATATTATTCAGCGGCTTACATGTATCTAACTACCAATCTTGTCAACTAATATTTTATTCTTTTTATATTAAATCAAATTTAATCATTCATTACATTTTTCTTTTTCTATCTATTCATAATCTCAAATTCATCTTTTAAAAAAAAAAAAACATTTATTTTTACCTTTTCATTTCACTATATTAAACCATTTAAATTTTTCGAGGAAAAATTTATATGGGCGGGATGCGGGTTAGGGGGAGGCTAAGGTGTCATCTTCATGAACTTATGATTTTTTTTTTTCTTTTTCTTCTTTTGAGGAAAAATATATAATTTTTAGCGTTGTATGGGCCTTTGTGTAAAATCTGGAAATCTCGATATAGTTTCTGTAATTATCCAGAAAACCAGTGGCTGCGACGTGTGGAAATAAGTAGTTAATTTCCAGCAAACAATCACATGATTTTCCAATGGAGATAGGTGGGCGAGCTTTGAGTTTATTGAAGGTACAAGCATGTAATAGCAGCAGGAGAGAGGTACAACCACCAGTTGCTAATTATTTTGAGCATGGAAGGAGACACCTTTTTCTACTTTCAGCAACTGTCCTCAGTGTAGCTGACTCAAGAACTGACCTTCTCAGTAGTAAGCCTCTTTTTTCAACTTTCATTGTTTTTAGTTGCAAATAAATAATGTTTCAAATTTGGACCATTCCTTTTCTTCTGTTATTTTTCTTTTTGTTGTGTTTTGCTTTGTTGGGTAACTAAAATAGAATAAGTTGTAATTTGTGAAGCATGAAAAGGGTTTAGTTAGTTAATGTCTCTGATTGTCTCTGCAGGATACCTCAAGAAATCAGAAGAAAACAAAGCCAAAAACGATAAGGAGGTATGATAGATAAATAATTGCTCATTCAATTCAGAGCTTTTGTTTTTTCTGAGGAGGAATTTTTTTGTTATTTCATTATTCAGAGACTAGACAGTTATTACAAGCGCAACTACAAAGATTACTTCGGCTTGTTAGAAGGAGAGTTGAAGCAGAAGAAAGAACTTTCTGAATCAGAAAACGACATTCTTGAATGGCTTGAGCGCAATAGAGATAATTAAGACACTGGTTATCAATCTATCAGCCGATGGATAAAATAATCAGTCCTCTCTCAAGATAAGGCCTGATTAATTTGGTTGCATCTGCAGACAATAGATGAATGTATGTTGCGAATTATTTACTAGTTGTTGTTGCTGTATTTTGCTACACATTTGCCCATAAAATTGTGATGGTTGAGCATAATGTTGCTTCCCCACAAGGCCACAAACTTTTACGTACTTTCAGCAAAGTTGATAATGTGTATGTGTGAATTATTAAAATTGCAAAATAAATTACAACATTTATTATTATTATTAGATAAATGTATGTTGCAACTTGCAAATTACTAGAGTCGTTGTATTTTGATGCACACTAGTGTATCTAACCCTGCATTGATTGTAATATAACAATTATAAATAATAATATTATTATATTTTCATAATAATAATAATCTAATTTTGAACTCATATGTTGACGATTTATAAAATTTTATGATTCTTAGTTACATTATTTGAGAAGTTATTAATTTATTTTTAAAATTTATAAAATCATATTTTGTGAACTTTTGATTTCACTTTTGAGTAAATAATTTGCCTTTGGTTTAATGGGCAACATTTTTTTAAACTTTTAATGGTATGTAATTGATATTTGGAATAGTTGTGTATCTCTATTTTTATTTTATATTTATGTTCTATACAGTATTTTCAAACTTATCTATACGTCCACTTGTTTTTTTAATCTTATTGTTCTTTTACACCTATTGAGACTCATGTCTATTTGTATTTGATATTTTGTTGAGGTTGAAATAAAATTCATCGTTTCGGAGAAAAAAAACTCATGTCTACTTGTTTTTTTAATGTACTTAAAGATTAAAATTTAAATAAATAATATAATGAAGGTAAAATTTAATGTCCTTACTATTTTTTAATCTTATTGTTCTTTTACACCTATTGAGACCTATGTCTATTTACTTTTTTTTTTGTTTTGTTTTAATATGTAAAAATTAAAATTAAAATAAATAATATAATGCAAGTAAATATTTGTTGTCCATAAAAGTGGATTTGTCCAGGTTTTATATAGGAGTAATGACATGATTGGTATGAAGGAATGACATGGGAATGGAATGATCATTCCCTTACTCATTCCTTATCCCATGATTGGTATATTTTTTGGGAAGGAATGACCATTCCAATGGGAATGGCAAAACCCATCTCCATGGGATTAACCATTCATAGTAAATGAAAAGTTTTCTCATTCTCATGTGTGTAGGAATCAATTTTTTAAAAAATAAAATTAACAAATAATGATAAAAAATAAATATATAACATATATTATAAATCATGATTAAAATATATTAAATAAATTATTTTGAAAAAATTCAAATAAAAAAATTGAAAAAATTACTTTTATTTATTTTTTAATTAGATATATTAAATACTTATATAAAATTAAAACCAAAAAAAACATTTATATATAATTTAAAAATTTATTATTTGATTTTTACATATTATTAAAAATATATTATTTTTTATATATTAATAATATATTATTGAAAATATATATTATTAAAAATATATTACTTTATTTTTAAATATTATTAAAAATATATTATTTTAAAAAATTGAAACTTATTTTTATTTACTGTTTAATTAAAAAATAAAATATATTATTTTATTTTTATATATTATTAAAAATATATTATTTTTTATATTATTAAACAATATATTATTCTATTTTTATATATTATTCAAAATATATTATTAAAAATATATTATTTTATTTTTTTATATTATTAAAAAATATTTATTTATAATTTATTAAAAGTATATTATTTTTTTAAAAAAAGCTTTTATTTATTTTTATAATTAAAAATGATAACTTCATTTCATTCCAGTCATATTCCTCCTGCATACAAAACATGTTTCATTCCATTCTCATAATCATTTCATTTTTCAATTCATTCCATTCCTGCGAAATTCCATTCCATTGTAACAATCATGCCATAAGAGTAAAATTAGAATTAATGTAAGGTTTGATTGTTCAAGATGCTTGAAGGAAACTTAAGTTCAAAAGGGACAGCAGCCTTCCCATTTCTCAAAATCCTAAACCCTTGATACCGGTGAGACTGAAAGAGTCTGCGGACGACGAAAAAGCGATTTACGAGATGAAGAAAGTATTTGGGTTGATGAAAGATAAGGAACCCTCTCCATCCATTCGAGATACCTCCGAACAGGTATGTAACTGAGTGAGCTTAATCATTTTTATGCAAGTCCCAAGTTCAAATCACGTCCATCTGATTTGGGTATGATGTGTACTAGCTGAATATCAGAGAATTAGGTAACATCGGTGAATAAATTGGTCGTTTCTCAGCTTTTCCTGAACTTTGATATGTGTTTTTGCTGGCATCAAGTGTCGCTAGGTTTTTCAATTTCCATCATGGTTTTTTGTATGCGAGCTTCTCCTGAATGATGTTTCCCCTTTTTCGCTGTTCTTTTCTCTTCCTTTTTTCTCCCATCAGATTTCTAAACGAGGTGATAGTATTGGAGAAAAGATTAAGAAACTTGATGCTGAACTAGCCAGATACAAAGAGCAGATGAAGAGGATACGGCCAGGTCCTGCCCAAGAAGCTGTCAAAGCTAGAGCCATCAGAATTCTTAAACAAAAAAGAACGTAAGCTACCTACCTCGTTTGTTTTTCTTAGTGGCATTCATAAAGATGCAGATTTGGTGATACCTTACATTTACTTCCTGATAAAGATATTCTTGGTTTCTTCCCTTTTCTTTGTTCTATTTTGAGTAATTTTTACCTAATAGCTCTAGTGTGGGACTCCTTTAGCTCATGACTGTGGAATGCTTGTTCTTATTGGGTTTTTTTTTTCTTAATCTTTTGAAATATTTTGTCAGTAAGTTGCAGTATGGAGTAAGGGAAAATGTGTTCGGTTTGAGCACCTTATTTAGCGGACTAAACGAAACATTTTGATACTTGGATGCATTAAGATGGTGTCATCTATTGCATGTAGGTCTGTGTTCTCATATCCATCCTGTATTTTGCAACTTGCGTAATAGATGAGAACCACCAACCACATAGTGCAGCCTCCATACTTACCTGCTCATGATTAACGAAAATTGTGTTTGCTGGATGATATTAATCGGCCCATGCTTTTTTTTTTCTTTTTTGTTGAAAGCATTTCAGGTTGATATAAAAGATGTTTGTCATGTTTGTGGGTGTTTATGTTTTACTCGTTGCGCTGTCCCAGCTTATTCTTTAGTTGGATTAGTCTGATGTGCATTTTTCCTATGAACAAGAATCAACAATACTGTCAAATACACTTTAAATTTCTCTTGGGTGGCTCATGCGTGAAACATGTACCTGTTTGCATGTACAGATAACATGCACATTTTCTTTAATATTTGTTGCAGGTATGAAGCTCAACGTGATATGCTGTACAATCAGACATTAAAGCTAGATCAAGCCTCATTTGCTGCTGATGAGCTAAAAGATGCGCAACAAACAGTATGTTTATGTTTTGCTCTCCAGTGACTAAGTTGCTTGATCACTCATGGGGTTCAATATATTTTCATAGTTTCATGAAAACAGTTACAAATTTTTATATTAAGGGTGTGATTGTTTAGCTTTTCATTTTCTCTGCCTTTGTCTTTCCCCCTTTTCTTTTCTTTAGGCTTGGTTAATTTTTTGCAAAAAGTTATTTTGAGAGAAGGAAAATATATTTTGGGTATGCAACTGGATATGAGATGAAAGTAAGATGATGGTTTCTGTGACAATAGTTTAGCATTATTGTAATTGAATACGATTGTTCGTTGTAATAATAAGTGGGTTAATAGTGTATTTGGGAATTAAAATTTAAACCAATCTCACTTTATGTGTTTGTTTTTTCAGAAGTGGTGAATAAATGTTATTGTTTATTGGAAAACTGATAGTGAATTTAAATTTTCTTACAAGGATTAGCGTACAAATAGTTCCTTACAATTATTTTCCGAATGTTCCCTGTAAGCAACAATGTCATAACTTTCTTGCCTAAGCCTTGTAAATGATATACAACATCCTAAAGGGGCTAGTGAATTGTTATTGGATTGTTATATCGTCCCTGGCACAAAACTTTGGCCTCACCAAAAAATTAAATGTGCATGACATATTGACAGGGGCTATGTCTCAACTCTTAATGACATGTCTAGTAAATTGTGGACTTATGCTATGGCTTCGTTGTCTAATTGTAGTCTGAAACATGTGCCATCTTTTTATTCTTGGTCTAAGTATCTGATTGGTATGTAGCTTCATGACTAACTTCCGCTGGTAAAAATTATTGTTTCAATAACATGAGTGAGTATAATTATTCATTAATGGGCAAAGTCATAGTAAAATTGTGTTTCCCTTTGTAGCAACCCATAGGGCAAAGTTCGAGACTTGTGACACGAAGCTTATTCTGTAACGTGCTCGGAACGTGCTGCCTGCCTCCTTAGACGTAGGAGGACCACCTATTCTTCTCAAAGAAGATTTTCCAGTTACTGTTCCATATCCTTATAGCCTTTCTGTGTTTTTCTGAGGTAAGATACTGATGATTGATTGGCTGTTATTTCGGAACTCAGTCGCCTTTATGCACTGCCGCGCTTCATCAGTATCTGCTACATTCAATGAGATGTCAGCTTTCAAGTCCGCAAACAGGGAACTCAATGAATGATGAAGACAGTTCTGTATATATTTCTGGATGTTCACAAATTCTGCTAGTTAAGCCTGCAATGTGGATATATTATTGGTAGAACTTGCAAGATGAGATGATGGACCTCATGGGCGTGAGCTATGACATAGTAGAGTCCCTATTCCCTTTGGTCGACCTGATGACATTGATAAGGTGAATATTGGCTGGTAAGAACTGTATTCAGCAAAATCTTTAGCTATCAGTTGGGATGTGGTGTGGATACGTGAGCTGCAGCAGTAAATAAATTCATTCACGATGATTTATTGTTGACTTGAAGTGTTACCATATAGTTTGTTATTATCAATTTTGCTTGGTTGACCTATATAATTTACTTGAGTATTTACTGGAAACATTTGTCTCCATTGGGGAGATTTGTAGGTACCTTCCTTGTGGCCTCTGCTTTTGAGTGTTTAACGATCTTTTGAATCTCAACTGCTTTAGTGGGTTTGAGAGTGAAGGTGATGGAGAATACTTGCTTACATTTTATCTGCAAGCACAACGCAACTTTGCCATCAGCACCATCCGGGATTGGTCTGGTTCCAGATGGAAAAACAAACTTTGAGGTAATTTCATATTGATCTACAAGGCATTATTTCCTATTTACTCTTTGCTACATTCGAGAAGCTCCTAATTTTTCTGAGTGAAATTTGGTTTGTTTTCTTAGCGCGGTTATATTTCTTGTTTTCTATTGTTCGCTTGCATGATATTAGGTGAAATCAATTCTAGATAAAAATTGTAATCTTTGCCAAGCTGTTTTTTTTTTTTTTTAATATTTTCTCCCTATTTTGAGATTTTATTCTACCATATTCTTCGTCTACACTAGCAAAAAACTAACTTCTTTACACTGAATAAATTTACACACAAAGTATATTTGCATTGCATACCCAGTGCAGAACTTTCATCTCCTAATAATTGTCAAATAATCGGGAAAGGCAGGTAATGTCTTGCAAACACAATGCAACAAGTAGGCATCTATTTTGTGGTGCTACAAGTCTATTGCTGATCTACGACTTTTGGAATTGATTCAAGTCGTCCAGCTATTCTAAAATTGAGTTAATTTGTGTGGGAATGGAGTTGCCATATACCTTTACTTGGACAGGTAGATGATCTGGGACTCCCACCTATCTGTGTTTCATTTCATCATATGAAGAGTTCAATAACAAACACATTGGTTTGCCATCTTTTTTTCTTTTCTTCTCTTTATTTATTATTTTTCGAATGGTGATATCATATTATTATTATTAATATTATTGGTGGCTCAGATCAATCAAGGCGATTAATGACGAGGGGGGATATGCCCAATGTACGAGAGGTCCTTCCTTTGATGAAAGTGAACGTGGAGATTTCCTAGTCTCAAGCAAGGCTGTGGACGATGGTCTACTTTAAAAGTAAAATTTTGGGAATCTGGTCAATCTTTTACACATTAATATTATTTTATTTAAAATATTAAACGATATTGTCTACACTGTGATCATATGGTGCCATATTTAAGAAAAGAACATTTATGTAAAAGATATGTATGCTTGAACTATGACTGCATGATGCAATAATTTTGGAATGCGATTATTTAAGAAAAATATGTATCTTAAAAAATATGAAATTAAAGGTCACTCCAAGTCTACATGGTTAACAGTAAATATGTATCCAGCCTACATGGTTAATTATTAGTGATGGAGACAAAAAAATGAAAAATGACTACTAGCATTCATCCAGCGTATATGGTTAATTACAATGGTATACATAGCTAATTAAAGTTCACTCCAAGTCCAAGCCATAATATTACGCCAAATGCAATTACGAAACATATAAAAGTTGTCCACATTTTTTCTTCAATTAAAATGTCGTGATTAATCCTTGAAAACTACAACTGTCACCACTTTCGACATGCACATCTCCCTTTCAGTTGATAGAAATTGAAACGAGGATCCAATTACTTTGTAAAATAAAATTAGGGGATTCATACATAATTTATCAAATAATCCATTATTGAGAGTGTAGAGTCGAGCAGAAACAAATACCTTAAGACAACAGAGGTGGTAGCAAGACCATAGCAAAGTCATCAACTCTAAGGGAGAATAAAAAATCTCTTCACGTTTTCACTATCCACCACCAAAATTCACACAACTATGGATATTACAGGTAATGACATGTTCAAAATCAATTTCAATCGTGCCTACGCCTTTCCCTGTCTTTCTTGTGTCTCCTCTTATTGTCATCCGAATCATCATAACGCTGCTTTTCCTTTTCACGCTTGTCACGTTTCTTCTCATCATGCCTTCTTTTCCTCTTTCTGCTACTTTCATCCTCTGTTTCTTCTTTAACATTCTTTGTTGATTTTGTCGGCATGTCTGCATTCGGCTTTTCTACTGAGTTTGTTTTCAGACCTGAAGGCAAATTTGAATCTTCCAAAGGACGAGGCCCTCCTCTGCACAAGTGCCAAAAACAGCTATATGCATAAACACAAATTCTTATTCGATAGTCTCGTGCAAGATTTCACAATATGGAGGTCATACCTTTTCAACAAATAAATCGCTTATAAAGTCAAAAACCATACTTTTCAAAACAACTATTTAAACTGTGCATAGCTTTTGAAAAGTTCAATATCCACTCAAAACGAGTTTTTTTTTTTTTTATTAATCAGGGTTTATTTTGAAAAAGTTGGTATGATTAATTGTTAGTGGGATTATGAGTTTATATTAAAATATAATTAAAGTTGTTTTAACGTAAAAGTATGAGAGAGATGATGTGAAGTGATAGTTAGTTAAAATTATGTGAGTTGATGAATAGTGAATTAAAGTTGATGCGATATGTAAGAATGATAGGTTGGTATTATTTTATACTGATAATATTTAAAATAGTGAAGTTGAGTTAAAGTTGAGTTAGATTTTGAGTATGAATTGAGTATGAAATGAAGTAATTTATAAACAAACACACCCTTAATTTTCACCGTTACAAGAACGGAAGTTAGTTTAAAAAGTATGACTGTCACACATTAACAGATCCATGAGACCATCTTATACTAGCTTTTGTGATCAAGAAATATATAGGATGAGATAGGTGTCCTCAGTTTTTCATTTTCAGTTATCGAAAGATTTAACTCAGTAATTATCAATTGATACCTTGCAAAACCAAGACCATGAACCTGAGCTGCTTCAGCATGGCCAGCTCCCACGTCTTCTGCAGTAGAACCGCGCTTCACAAGTTCAGCAAATTCATGTTTATCAAGCCGATTACCTTGAGACTTAGAGGCACGCTTTGGAGCTAAACCCAAAGCCTCCCTCATTGCCTGCTCCTCTTCCTCCTTGATTCTTCTAATCTCTTCTTTCATGGCTTCCGAATCCAAGTCAGATTTTTTGTCACGAGTATACCAATGAAGGTCTTTTCCTGTAAGAAGGTAAAGAAATACAAATTCATCATTTGGAATAATAAAAAAAAAAAAAAAAAAANAAAAAAAAAAAAAAAAAATGGCCAGCATAAATGAATGAAAATAATAAATTACAAAATAGAAGACCTCAGAGATGCCAGGACCAAGAACTATATGGAGTAAGCTTTAGAAGGTTTGCTCATAAGAAATCACCAAATAATTTAAGTCATCTTACGCATTCCATCAAACACATTATAAAATTTTGTAAATAGTCCACAGAAAACTTACCCGAAACACCTGAGGTCATATCTATAGCAGACATTTTTCATCTTATAAATATAAATATCATCACAATAATGCAGGCACTAATCCATTGGTCATGCCAATTCTCTCACATCCAGCCATATCAAATTTTCAGAAAAAATGAAAAATCCTTCCAAATTGTATTGACCCGGCGTGGAAACACTCGGGTTGTGGAATAAAGATGTGAGAGGAATATTTGTTCTGTGGATTATTTGAGTCAATTTGCATGTGATAACATTAGGTGATTTTTTTCCACCTACTCAGTCAAATAATCTTTTGATGTCGAAATATTTGATAATGTTAGTTTTGAGAGAATAATTAGATAAACATATATAAAGAACGGTATAACTGTAATACAAGTGTGGATGTGGAGAGGAAGCAAATTGATTTTCTTCCCTGAAGCAGACAAGTTGCTCTAGTTTTTTAGTCTGCCGGGTGACGATCGTGGTAAGTAGATCATCTTTGTATGGTAGGAGAATATTTTTATTTTTGGTACATATTGTAACCTAGTTTGTACTCCCTCTATAAATATGAGTCCTTACACATGAATTATTTTCTCTTCATAGTTTTCATCTTCTAACAAGAACTGATAACAACAAACACGTCAGAAATAACTAAGGTAGAAGGAAAACACAAATAAGAGCCAAATAGCTGATCACCAGAAATCGGTATAAGCTTGCCGCATGTTCTAACAATATAAAATCAACAATTGTTATGCTAAAGAATATAGTAACATATGAGAGATCTGTACCATACACATAACACATTCAGACACATTATGACATATGAAAGCTGTACCTTTCTGCCATCTTCCAACAGGTGCCTTGATACTGTGACCTAAATAGTTCTCTCTATGTTTATCAACTTTGACATCATCCCAGCTAAATTCTGAAAAAAAAAAAAGATTAGGAAAGGAAGAAATGGACTGTTTCTGATTAGATATTATTCATCATCAATGCATAGAAGAATGACTAACGCATGATAAGAGTACAAAAAGGTACAACATTTTTCAAAGATATTAATACAGGAAATTTAAAAGATATTATTACAGGAACATAGTATATGAACACCTGACAAAATCACAGTCATAATTAATAATCACAATTGTTAGTCATTTTGTCACAATATATCTTGAACAGAAATCATAATCCAATGATAAACAATCTGATATTATAGGATTATGAAGATAAAGGCAGAAAAACGCAAATGAACCAAGATCTACGCCAAGTGACCTAAAAGATGCCACTAGGAAAGACAAATCAAATAGACGTCACCCACACATATGTGAGGCAAGACAAACATAAAAAAGGACTGTCCATGGAGGATCAGGCGAGCTCCTCACTTCAGCAAGGCAAAAAAGCCCTAGTCTTCCGGTTTTGTTTGACATTTTGTTAAAAATTGTAATATTATAAACTTTCTGCCAAGTGGCAAGTGAGACCAATCGGCAACGACGACAAGCTCCAGTGGGCCTTTTTTTTTTTCTTTTTCCCATGTTTTCATTTTTTTCCCTTCCCTCTATTCCTTTTATCATTGATTTTGTGTTTTGTTGCAAGTCCTGAGTTGTGTTCTTGTCTTCCTTAAAATTGTGAATCTTCCAACAAAAACACATTTATTATATACATTTTCTGTTTGAGGGGCTCTATGTGCATCTTTTAGATCACTGAGTATGAAAAATAAAACTTGTATCTCCTTGATACATTGGTCCCTCAACACAAACGATAAATCAAAAATGAAAGAAAAAAGATCTGTACACTATAGGGTTGCTAAAGAGTTAATTGGTAGACTTTGACCTGGTAGAAATCAGTATCTGCTAGATATATTCAGGAGAGCTTACATTTTTCACTACTTACAGATGGTTGTCGTTCCAAATTTTAGAGGAAACAATAATAAAGAAACACGCTTCTGCCTAAACTAGATGTAATTCGTCTAATAGGCATAATTGAACACAACATACCTCTTTCATTGTTAGCTACTAACTATTTGAACAACATCATCACATTATTCAGATCAAACCAAATTACTGAATTACAAACTGTAACCAAATGTTGACAATGAGACCATAGTATTGGACTAGGTGGGGAATAAATGGCAAAAAAAATGTAGACGGTTGTATGGGGCCTAGCACCTCGGCAAGATATAATTGGAGCTTACATATACAAAAACTAAACGGTTTCATATTTTCATATTTTGTATGGAAAAAAGACAAACCATAATATCTACTTGAACTCAATGGCGGTAACAAAAATACCAGCCCCAAAACATAAATTTCAGAATCAATCCCTACCTAATAGGCTGATACCATACAGAGTTTACATCAAACTGTATCCAGATGGATATAGCATAATCCTACTATGGCTAGAGATAAGAGGTGTACTAGAAAGAAAAATCCAGTTCAAGACAATTAACAACTCAAGATCTAGTCTGTTTTGGAATAGTTAATTGAATAAAGATGGGAAAATGCATCTTAATGCTTAAACTTATCAGTACTTAACACCTAAAATTCCCAACATCAAGGGGAAGTCCGAAAAATTACCCAGAATCCTGAACAGCTACAAATTTACCGATTAAAAATACTTGATAACAGCAACACGAAAAGAACAGAAAATAACATCCAAAGTTCCTAAAAACTTGTAAAAAAAGGCTCTAAAAACATTAGCAACAAATTGACGAAGGAATTTGAGAAATCTGACAACCACAAATTTGCTGCGCTTATTATTAGATAGAAAACATAGAAATTAAGGAGTAAAATAGGACTTACGATCGCGGCCACCTCGAACTCCACCTCTAGTCGGATGATACATTTCGTCCCTCTCTATAAATTTACCCCTTTCCCAGTGTATAATATTACGTATCGGAGGAGCTTAGTGGATCGTAAAAGAGATGAAATTTGGAAGGCGAGCATCGCATTTATAAAGTTTTCAAACCCGGCCAACCGAGTCAATGTAACTAACTCAGACAATTAATTTTAAAATCACATGTATAAATATTATAATGAAATCAATATACAAAATAAAAATAAATAATTTATAAGTCAAATTTATATTGTACTGCCCTTAAGTCTCTAGGCTTAACCTCAGTAAAGCTATGAGCCTGGAGGGATAATGTAGTCAGCACCCTGAGATCTAACATAACCTCAGATCTTACGACCTCGATACTTCGAGGTCGGCTGTACTACGGATATCCTGGAGGTCGGTACTTCTAGGTTGACTAGTAGGTCGGTACATCCACATTGTGTTCTCTAGGTCGGCTAATAACTGTGAGCTCCCTGACTAAGATTGTTTACTTCTGAACAGATTGAAAGTCTCATGGACAGGCCTACTCGAATTGTCTGCTCAAGTCGATCTGTCGAGTTAGTATGAGTATTACATCATCTAGTCTCTCTCTCCCCCCTCTTTCAAGAAGAGCTAACTAGACTTGTACTGAAATGTGGCTTTTCATTAAACCTTTGTAATTGGTCCTCCTTTATGTTCAATTTATTATAAAATTAACCTATGAGAATGTGAGACGACAAAGATAGACGACTTACCTGCTCAGATCTCAATCATTCACATCTTATTGTTAGACATGGCCATGGGCCGGCCCGTAGTCAACGGGCCAGGAACCGAGCCTTTAGTTTGACCGAGCTGATTATGAGCCTTATGTATAAAAATCTTTGACCAGACGGGTTCGAGTCAACCCTAAATATGGTCTGCCATGTTTTCTAATTTTTTATTTTTTTATCTGTGGATCGGGCAGGGCTGGGTCAGAGGCCAGGCCGACCCATGGCCCTGTTGGCAGCCCCACTAATCTAGTCGTTGGAAGCTTTTAGAAATATTAAAGTAAATAAAAGTAAAAGAGATTGAAAAAAGTGCGAAGGGTATAGTATTATGGTTATTTCGTATATCAGAAGATAAAAAAGAAAAAAGAAAATAAAAAATAAATGTAAATATTTATATTAAGTTTTCATGTATAACGATCCACATATATAGAATAACGATGTGTGTATATATATACTATCCTTTCAACTAAAAACGTGTTTGTTTTCGCTACTACTAGCCTAGCTTGTTCCCAACATCTCACTAACTTCCAAGAATCTCTCCCTCAGCTTATAATCTCTACAATCCCTCGCCAAATCCCTTGAATCCCTGTTCCACCGAACAGAAACTCCCACTATTCCAACCAGAAAAATTCAATCAAAACCCCCCAATTAATTTCTATCCCTTTTCCTTTTTTCTTCCAAATATTTTATCCGAATATGTACAGTCTTGATAGAAACGACAACAGCTCCGTCACCGGCGCATCATGGAGCCGACAGGAGGACAAAGTTTTCGAGAAAGCTCTGGTAGAATTTCCCGACGGCGTCGACGACCGGTGGCGGCGGATCGCTGAAATTCTACCCAGTAAATCACCAGAGGAGGTCAGGGCACATTACGAGGCGCTGTTGTATGATATCGCCGAGATTGACTCGGGCCGAGTTGAGCTGCCTTGTTATTCGGATGAGTCGGCTGCGCTTGGGTGGGACGACCGACCTAGGCCGAGGACGTCGGCTCAGATCTCGTTCGGCTCTCGAGGTCGACACTCTGAGATTGAACGGAAAAAAGGCACTCCTTGGACGGAAGATGAACACAGGTCCTTTCTTTTTTTTCTTGTTAGTTTATTTTATTTTGGCCAAACAAAAGATAGATATTAACAACTCTACTCTGTGTTCATTGTAATTTAATGAAATTGGACTTGATCTTTATGGTTGAAGCCAGATGATCTTATCGCAACTCTTTCGTACTAAATCCCAGGTGTAGTTTCAGGTGTGGATTTAATCCAAACAAGATATGGTTTTGATTGATTGAGAGAGATCTTTTTCCCATTCATTAATAGGGTGTTCGTACTAAGTTCATTTAATATGTTGAAGGTTCTTGCCATTTAAAGCACATTAATTAACTTGCTCTGTATCATCATCATCCCTTTTTCTGATAATGCTTTGTAAATGAAAAAACCATGCTTTGATTGAAATGAGGAAGATTGTAATTGTTTACTTTAGACTTCCCAATAGTGTAGTGTTGGCCATCGGTGTTTATGAGCTTCTGGCAGGAAGAAATAGAATACTCCCATTATCTGAAAGACTAGTCCACTTATTATAGACCTCAATTTATTTCGATTCAAACTCAGAACAATTATGCTACTAATAGCAACAGGCTTTTCAACTGGCTTAATTTTCTAAAGCAGCAGTTACCCTTTATGCAGCTACCTGATAAAAATTTCATAGTATACGGGCTTTTCGAATGTCACATTCGTATTGTGATAGTTGATTGGTCCTTTACAGTACTTTTTTTTTCTTGCCTTTTGGCCATCTATATCACTCTGCATAGGTAATAGATAAATTGATGGCACTAGAGTACACTCCATGATATGTCAATTTTGATTCCATTCTTGTGCAGGCTATTCTTAATTGGTCTCGATAGGTATGGTAAAGGTGACTGGAGGAGTATTTCAAGGAATGTAGTTGTGACAAGGACTCCAACTCAGGTTGCTAGCCATGCTCAGAAATATTTTCTCCGTCACAATTCAGCAAGAAAAGAGAGGAAAAGATCGAGCATTCACGATATCACGACTGCTGATGACAGCTTGACAGTGCCTGCACCGACCAACCTTTCTAATCAGGGCGGCTTTCAAGATTTTGGTTATCACATGCCTTGATGATGGATTAGAACTTGGAAGGAAAAACTAGCTACACACTCTATGAATGTATATAGTAGTTTCTTGAATACTGACTGGTAAATTTGTACAGCTGCATTAGTCCTTTCCTTGTCTAGTAAACATTAGAGATACATGTTAGGTTTTAGATTTTAGGGCGGTGTATTCATTTCATTGCTATTT